GGCGAGGGAACGCCATATCCAATGTTTGTATCCATAAGGGATCTTCGGGCTGCGCTTTGTCTGGTTCCTCACCTAGGACCTGTCTGCCATGGGTGACCCTACCAGGGGCATAAAGCCCCAGACAGCATAGCTCCTAGGATCATTGGGACACTCAAACCCCTCCACCACGATAAGGTAGCAGCCCAAGGAGAGGAGCTCAATTATTGTGTTATAAAACATAAACAGAGATTTATCATTGAATAGCTACCTTATTTTGTACATTATTGCAATGAATTTGACTATTTTTGTTCTTAAATGATTTATGTGAGGTTTCCTTGTCAGCTTTTTATCAATGATGACCCAAAAACTGCACCTCACTGACTCTGCAAACCTCAACATCATCTCTAAATGAGACATCGACAGTTTTCTTTTTATTACTAAATATCATGTAGTTTTATCCAAATTTAATGATAATTTATTTAGTTGAAACCAAGTTTGTATTTTTACAAATTCTGTTTGCATCATCTCCATCATACGTTCTATATTTTTACCCAAACAAAAATATGTGGCATCATCTGCAAATAAAACACACCTTTTACAAGGGTTGACCCAAATGGGTCCACCTCTCCCTTCTTAACATTTGATGATATTTGGTTTAAACTTAAGCCAGGCTGTTTGTTCTGTGGTGCATTTTGCCCGAGCAGCGGAGAGCGAGGAGACGTTGCGCGTCACCAAGGATGTGCAGAAGCGAGCTGAGGAGAAATATAAGGTGCTGGAGAACAAAATGAAGAATGCCGAAGCCGAGAGGGAGAAGGAGCTGAAGGCCGCCCAGGAAAAACTCAACTCAGCCAAGGCCAAAGCTGATGCCTTCAACAAGAAGTTAAAGCAGAAGCAGCAGGTACGCTGACCCTTTGTACTCAGCAAGAAAGATGTTTTAAAGTCTTCCCCCTGTAGGATATGTGTTCAAACTGTTTAATCTTTTCTGTAAAAATACATTTAGTGCGCTTTTTTATTACAAAAGAGCATTAAATATGTATCCTTCCTTCTGTGTTTAGGAGTCTGAAGCTTTGGCTCTGGAGCTGGAGGAGCTGCAGAGGGAGCAGGCAGGTTATGAACAGCAGATTCAGGCTGTAGACGAGGCGATGAGGGCCATCCAGGAGCAGATAGACAGCATGGCCTGCACCGTGTCTCAGAACAAGGTGTGTGTTTGTGTGTGTGTGTGTGTGTGTGTGTGGCACCGTCTCATCGTGTTTCTCTGCCACACTTCAGTCACACATCTGGTTTCTGTTTTGTTGTTGTGTGTTGGGCTATAGGAAGCAGTGCGCAAAGCTCAGGAGGAACTGGCCAAGCAGAAAGAAGAGATCATGACTCAGGACAAAGAGCTCAAGGTGAGCTGTTTTATCAGATTTTGAGACGAGATGATTTCATGTATAAATTGCCAAACTGAAGACTTGATTGATGTTCCTTGGAGTTGTTTTTATTTTGTCAGACTGCAGACTACTTTAAGTAGGATTTATTAAAACGTTTTCATCCTTCTGAATGCTCCAGGGAAAAAGCACTGAGGTCAATAAGATGAGGGAGCAGAACAACGAAGTCCAGCTGAAGATTAAGGAGCTGGAGCACAACATCAGTAAGCACCACAGAGAAAGTCAGGACGCTGCTGATAAGGTACACAGAAACTGGGATTAGTTTCCCCTCAAACTTCTGCCACTTTTTTGTTCTGTAACGTTGAACAGCTTTAATGTTCGCTCATCCTATTTTCCAGGTGACTCGGATGCTGGAGGAACACGACTGGATCCATTCAGAGCGTCAGTTCTTCGGCCAACCGAACACCTCCTACGACTTCAAGACCAATAACCCCCGCGAGGCGGGTCAGCGTCTGAAGAAGCTGGAGGAGACCACCACCAAGCTGGAGAGGAACGTCAACAAGAGAGCCATGAACATGTTGAACGAGGCCGAGGAGAGGGTGAGGACTCTACAAACTGCTCCTGTAGCTTAGATTCTTCACAGATCCTTTACCTGACTCTCACAAACCCTGGTTCCCCGCTGCAGTACAACGACCTGATGAAGAAGAAGAGGATTGTGGAGAACGACAAAGCTAAAATCTTGCAGACTATCGAGGAGCTGGACCAGAAGAAGAACGAGGCTCTGAATGTGGCTTGGCAGAAGGTCAGCTGCTAGTTTCAGAACTGATTTTTTTTCTCCCCACAGTAAAATATTGCATATATTATGTGTACTATAAGTATTATTCAGTCGTACTTTGTTGTCATCGTGTGTCAAAAACAGAATTTTAAACTAAATAATTAAATAGAAAAGTTAGACCCGTATTGTCCTAAAGTAGCATGGTTTATTCAGGTTTAACATCATTTGTTTCAATAGTTTGAGATCATTCTAAAATCATCTCCCACCTTATAGGTGAACAAGGATTTTGGCTCCATTTTCTCCACTCTCCTGCCTGGGGCAACAGCAAAGTTGGCTCCTCCTCAGGGATGTGGAGTCTTGGACGGCCTTGAGTTCAAAGTAGCTTTGGGTGACACCTGGAAGGAGAATCTCACCGAGCTCAGTGGTGGGCAAAGGTCAGCAAAAATACTCCTCTTCTTCCTCTTTTTCCTCCTCTGCACGTCCAAACCATCTCAGTCTTTCCACCAAAATAATATGAACTGATTGCTTTGATTATGTTGCTAGGTGCTTCACATATTACTGTGCCGTTACATATCAAAATCTCACAATAAGACCTTATGCTTGCTGTATGCGGTCATCATCAATCATAAAATGTTTTAAAACAAGTGTATTCTGTAATAAACCTCCCTTAGTTAACGTATACCTGCTCATGTCTTTGTTTTCAGGTCTCTCGTGGCTTTATCTCTCATCTTGGCCATGTTGCTCTTCAAACCTGCTCCCATTTACATCCTAGACGAGGTGGATGCTGCTCTGGATCTGTCACACACGCAGAACATTGGCCAGATGTTGCGCACGCATTTTAGGCACTCACAGGTAGGTTCAAACTTAAACATTTAGTAACAGTTGTTTATAGAGCACATATCATTGTGGCTAGCAGAAAAAGTGCCCTTTCATCAGCTAAATCCACAGAAGGTGCTTTAGATGGGTTAATTCTGCTTTTTCTCTTCTAGTTTGTGGTGGTGTCACTCAAGGACGGCATGTTCACTAATGCCAACGTCTTGTTTAAGACCAAGTTTGTCGACGGCATGTCCACAGTGAGCCGGACTGCACTCAGCCAGAGTGATACCAACCTGCCCCTGAAGGGCCAAGACAAGGCTCGTCACAAGGACAAGAGGAACAAACAAGTGATCAGCTGAGCAGGACAGTCAAATCTGACTTATTCTTTTTGTTTTCTAAAAATCACGTCAGTTATCTAATCCATCTACTTGTTTTCTGGTTTGTCATTGCTTTTCAAAATTTTTAACAATGTTTCACCTCTATCTATTTAGAATCTTATGTTCAACTTTCTCATCTTTCATGTTGTCCTTTAGAGATTTCTTTACTTTTCTATGCAACCAATGGCCTATATATTTTTTGTAAATAAAGTTAAAACATTGATTGTTGCTTTAGTTCATTCCTGTTCTCATAAAGGGTGTTTTATCAATTTAAAAAGTTGTTACTCTGGTCCATTTGGGTGTGGACCCTGCATTCCAGGGGGATTTGAGAGAAATTAAGTTTTAAAGCACTAAAAAACACTAAGTTAAAAAAAGACAAAAAATGCCCATGTTGTGATGTATTGATGCTGATGGGTTCACTGCTCATGCATGCCTAATGAAATGTCAGATTTACCTCAGATGCCCCACAAACATGAAAATGCTTCATTTAACACCAAAAAACAGAGAAAGCCACTTGTCCAAATCAATAAAGTTTTATTTCATGAAGGACAAATTCAAACAACTCTAAAATCACTTGAAACTGACAGCAGGATCTTTTTTCTCCCCATCTCCCCAAACAGATTGATGTCCTCATTATCTGGCACAAAACTTCAGGACAAAGTCAGGCTTCTTTTGATTCATCACTAATCAGCAGTGGTCTGTGGTTTTTCACCCTCAGCTACAAACAAACAACTTGCTGTTTTCATAACGAGTTGGCAAATCCACAACAGTAGTAAAAAAAAAATCCCCATTTTGGGGCTATTGGCTAATACAAACCCAACACGCTGGTTTCTGCAGCTTTCATCATTAACTCACTGTCCATTAAATTTAACCAAACTGAAAATTTAATTAATAGCCTCAACAGCTACGTCAGACGAAAATCACTCCGCTCGACCAGAGGGAGATTAATGTGCAAGGCTGCACCACAACTCACAGACAATATAGATACTTAATGCAAAGACTGGCATATTTATGGATATTAGTTATAAGACAAAGGTCTGTTCTGATCAAAGGTGTTTTTAAATGCGGATGCTGCTCCTGTTCTGTCTTTCTGTGAGCCTCAAGGTTGGCTTTGGATGTGTCTGCGCAGCTCCTGGGCCTTGTCCCTCAGGTCGGGCTTGCTGTCGGACTGCAGCGTGGACAGGGAGCGCTGCAGCTGCTCCCGGCTCTTCACCGACATGCAGTCCCATCGCTCGCTCTCTGAGAGGATCACACGCACAAGACCTCGTCACAAACACATCAGCTGACAGCTATTTATATGCATAGCATTTAGTACAATATATATTCAGATACATGACAAAGAAAACATTTATGTTACAAGGCAAACTCATTAACCATAAACGGTAAAGATRGACAAATCAACTACAAGTACTGAAAAGAGAAAGACGAGCATTTTTGAGTCATTGCAGCTAATTACATAGCAGTGTTTTGAGATAAAGGTTATGGTAACATAAAACAAAATTTAAAGCCTATATTCAGAACATTAAAGCTCATAAGCATAATTTAGAAGGCCAACCCTAATATATTAATTTATAACAGACTTTATTGTAACCATTTCACAAGAGCAGAAACAGAAAAACCCACCTCCTGTTCTCTTGACAATCAGATCCACAACAGATAAGGCTTCTGTTCTCACAGAGGAGTAGCTTTTATTTTCTGTAGAGAAACATCAGAGCAAAATTAGTGACAAAATGTTTTTAGATTTTGATACAATTTAAAATTACCCCAGAGCAAAAACTGGTCATTACCCAAAGGATATGTGAGAGCAGCACAAGTCTCTGTGAGGATCTGTGATAGTGCATCGGAGTCTTCGCTGCCTTTCTCCAACAGCAACAAACTACAAAGAATACAAACCAAATATTTTAATCAGCTGACTAATCAAAGGGTTAAGATTTAGGAGAAAACATTTTGTTGTTTCTTACTCTTGAAAATATGCCTTCATGGCCTGTAGAACTGCCACCTGGACTTTCCAAGTGCTCAGTTTAAGTTTCTCCGACATCAGACTGCACACCTCCAACTGGAAACGTGCTACAGAGAAACACCAAAGTAAAAGCTGAAGCACAGAGCAACACAGCTGTCATAACCATCACACAGGGTTTGGAGCATGTTGGGGATGACTCAGCTACTACCACATCATCAGAGACTTTACCTTGGGTCTGTGGGTTTCTGGGCCAGGTCTTTCCCAGTGTCTCAAAAGCACAAAGCAGCGCTTCAGTCTGCAGCTCTTTCTCTTTCACATCCTTATTGTCAGAATCATCATCATTGTCCAGAGACCTGGGAGATGCTCCGCCACTCTCTGGGCAGCTCTGAAGGAAACAGAAAAAAATAGGTTTAGTTTTTTTAAATTTTAATTTGTACGTGTCTCATAATTAACGGGATAATTGAACCTTTTTGATCAGAGGGAAAAGGATCTCAGTCACGTCACTGAAGCGGTCCTCCTGGCAGCTGCGGAGCACATCTCCAGCACAGCGCAGAGCGGCCATCTTGTACACCAGATTCTCCTTGCGACATTCTTTCAACACGACCTCCCCGACCTCAGGGATGGTAGGCTGGCCGCTGCAGGGCTTCTGTAGCTCAGCGCTGAAACCCAGAGAAGAACAGGAATAAAAAGTTTATCAACTACAGGAAACTGCTGTGAGGGCAAAAAGTTCTGCCAGAAGGCTCACCTGCATTTTGACACCACTGATCCGATGGCTTTCAACAGCTCCTCCTGGACATTAAAAAAAAAATAAATAAATAAATAAATCTGTTCTTTTGTTTACTTTTCTTGAGTTTTCCAGCAGAAGTAGGAATATTACCTTGCCGGCCCACGTTCGTCCGGACAGCCCCTGCATCAAAGCAGTCAGCACCAAGCCGAGGTGTGGCGCCACCAACGAGCCCGTCTGTTCCTTCGCAACTGTGGCCATGGCAGCTGCACCCTGAGCCTTCATCTTCCAGGACTGGGACTGCAGTGCTTTTTGTGTGATGGTGATCAGTTCCGTCATGTAGAGTCGGATGCCTCCAAAGCTTCCTGGAGGTGGAGAAAGGTTTGCAGAGTTACAAGTTTGTGTTGTCACCACACACACACACACACACACACCCACGTCTATTGAAAATGTTCTGTCCACTTGTCCACCTGGTGATCTGTTGTGTGTTCCTCACCTGGAACATTCTCCTGCCACACCTCAGCAAACAGCGTGGCATCATGGCTCTCTCCTTTCTCCTCTTCAGGACCGGGGGCCTGATGCATGCCGAGGAAGGCCAGCGGCAGGGCCACGCCCGCGTGAGCCTTCAGCACATCTGGACTGTAGTGACTGACTGCGTGCACCGTTAGCGCACATGACGACTTGTAAACAGGCTCTGGAAGTCAGAGGTAAAGAGTATAAAAAAATACAGACAGCAGACTACAATCTAACAGAAAGAAGATGTGTTTACAACTGACTCACCTTCTTTCTCCAAGTACCAGTTGCTGAGCTTCAGTAGTAGTTTTTCTACACTGCTGTCCTTTGCTGTCTAATTGGGGAAACAATAGTGTGTGAATGATAAAGTCTTAAAAATCATGTATAATTTTTGTAATAAGAATTGGTTAATAAAGGTGCATACCCTGACGAGGTGTCCCAAAGCAAAGGCAAAAGCTTTCTGGACTACAGTGCTTCTATCATGAACACCATTCAGCAGGGCACTCATCAGTTTACCTTCCAACAAGAACATCACTTGGTTATTATTCTGACCAGTGAACCCATTGGAGGATCAGATGAGTTACTGTGCTGTACCTGAGTATGGGGTTAAGTCCTGGGGACACTGAACTGTGAGGGAAACTATTACACTTGCACAGCCTCCCTAACAAGAGTCAGAAATTATTAGCAGGTCAACTTTTCACACATCACACAGAACTATAAGAACATCAGTGCATGATAATTTAAGTGACCTAAAAATGTCACCAGTAAAAACATTTCTACCTTTGTGCCCAGGCCGACTCCACTCTTCAGCAGTTCACAGAGCCTGGGGACGAGCTCCCCCAGCACAGAAACATCGAGGTGCTGCAGACACTGAATACACACCATCTTTAACTTTAAAAGCTCAACGCACTGGCTTTTGTGTGAAATACACAAATCCAGTTTAAAAACTCAAGTTAATGATCTAGGTAAGGGAAATAATTAGGGATGCAGTTCTTGATGTTTTACCATGTTGACGGTCTCCATCATTGGAGATGATTTGGCAGCACTGAGCCTGGCAGCATCCATGGCACTCTACAGAGCCAGAATCAAAACAGAGCTTAGAACAACACGAAGACGAGTTGGTGATAAACCTGCAGGGTAATAGATTACCTTTTCCTGCTCGGTGGCTCTGAGGCTGAGGTAGTTGAGGACCTGAGGCTCCAGTGTGGAAAGGGCCTCCAACAGGGCTGGGATCAACCGGGAAGCGTGAGGCTTCAGTCTGGCTCCCGCTGACTTACTAATCTTCACCAGGGTCTGAATACTGAATGGTTGAAAAAAAAAGGAAGAAAAAATTGTTGCAACTTCTGCAGACTATATGATGATCGAAGCCAACAAGAAAAGAACAGCAACATACATAGCTTTACATGAACATTTCATGAGAGAGCACATCCATGGAGAAACAGAAAAATATTACCTGAGCGAGCGGACCTCAGAGACACTGCTAACGATGCCTTTTTCCAGCAGGGTGGGCAACATCATCGCCACAGTTCTCTGGGCAGCAGCTCCTGTAGACTCACACATACGAATGCACACCTACACAGAAAAATAGACAAGTTCTTGGACACAAATACACCCAGACAAATAAAAACATGCCTACAGGTCAAAGTTGGGACAAAAAGTCTTACCTTACTGAGTGTTTTTAGGGTTAAGTCTGCAGCCTTTCTTACAGATTCCTGAAACAAAACAAACAAAAAAACATATAATGTCAAACTAAAATTAAATGTGTTTCTGATCCTAAATCAGCTTTAGTTTGCACCTTTGTGCCGAGTGGAGGAAAAAAGAAATTTATTTCCGATAATTTCCTTCTCACCTTAATGTCATCGAGGACTCTGAAGAGTGTTTCCCACATTTCTGACAAATAATCAATGAGGTCATCAGCCTGACGACCACGAATCAAGTCGTTGAGTGCCAAGCAGCTGCACGGAAAAAATGTTCTTCAGGAAGATAATTTATAAACGTCTCTACAACAAAACTAAACCTCTGGTTCAGTCTTGCCTAATGAATGAAACCGAAAAAAAAAAAAAAAACTTTACCGTCACATGACTATAATGTGACAAACACCTAACAGGAAGTAGAAGTGTCTTTATTCAGTTGGCTGTTAAAGTGATGAAAACAATCAAATCATGTATTCTTCAGAAATCATGTGGGAGTTGAGTTGCAGGAAAACAAACAATCTAAGTACATGTAAGAGAAACATTATTGCCATTTTGATTGTACCTTGACTCTCTCACTCTCCAGGCGTTATTGGTTAAGTTGGAAATGACATCCTGCAAAATCTCCTTCAAATATTTGTCCACCTGGAAAAATAAAAAACATGCAAACTGATAAATCACCACCATCCTTCCCAACACCTGCATCTGCTGGTCTGTATGTAGAACCTCTGTTAGTGTGAACACCCCTTACCAAGGTTTTATCAGTGACCAAGGCATCCCAGATGCTGGTCATGGCCTGGCGGATGCCCAAGTTGGGGTCAAACTGATAGCGGTACAGACGAGGCACTATCTGAGGCAAGAAAGGAGCCAGCTGCTCTCCTGCCTTGGCTGCGATCATGTGGAAACCAAAAGCTGCTCCCTGCAACGAAGGAGGTTAGTCGAGTCAGGTGGAAGAGGACCATCTGAGAAACGGCATGTGGCTGTGACTGAGTGATACCTTGCGGGAGTTCCACATGGCGTGGTGGTTGGCCAGGTTCATGAATTTGTACACGAGATCTGGTTGGTTCAAATCACTGGCCAATGAGCACAGCTCCTTGTACGTGGACAGGCCGTGACTGTTGGGCATTAAAATATGTTCATTTACGAAGGAGAAGAAATTTGAGCTGTTTAATGCATATGTCAAAATTTCTAGCCAGAGTGACATGACTCACCCATCAGGCGTTTTACCCAAACCCTCCCCTTGGAACACCTCTGTGTCCTCTGAGACTGCATGACGCACCCTGTTTGCAAAGATAATTCAACAACATTAAATAACATTTTCTGTGCAGAAAACCAATTCCTTTGGAAAAGTAAAGTAAAAAGCATTGATTACACAAATTTTAACCTGATTATTTAATCACAAACTCACCTTTTGCCAGTCATTAGAGTTTCCACTAGAGTGGACACCAGCTCCTGCTGATCACCCTCACCTCCCATCTCATAAACAAGCCCAAGGCCTTTAGATGCTGCATCCTGACTCAACTCTGAATGTGAGACAGAGAGAAGATGAATGACAAGACGACTAATTTATTACACCAGAAACTATGCTTAGTAAGATCAAACCGTTTAAACTTGTTTCTTGTCTTACCGTCGGGGTCTGAAAGAACAGAGATGAATGCATTCTGAATTTCCTTCAAATGGGACTGCAAGAGCAAAGACAGAGCAGCAAAAATGATTTTCCTAATCTAGTTTGACATAAAAACACTATAAACCTAAACATTGAGGGCAGATTCAATAAAATGCCACCCCATTCAGGAAAGAACAAATTAAATATCTAAACATGAGGTTAAATCTATATTTGGACTTACAGAGTACTTGTAAATGTTGCAACGTTAAACATTACATTTAATTTGAGGTAAAATAATCGTAAAAGGATTAAAGTGATTAGTTAAATCTTGTGCTGTTTTGTCTTCATCAGAGCAGGATGGTGTACGCACTGTGATTTCTTTGTGCTGACTAAGTTTCTTGACGAGAGAGAGCAGCCAGATGCAGGCCGCCTGCCTCACATGAGGGTTCTGGCTGGGAATATATTTGGACAAGATCGAGCTGAGGACCCAAGGAACCACATCATTGCTTTTAATATCTGAAAGAGAAAGAAAATAGAAATGTAGGATTAGGAGAGAGAAATATATAAAAACAGATACTCATAAAACATGCTCATAAGATTTTTCATGCAAAACAAATCATTTTGCATATTGTGACAAACCTAATTCTAAATACGTTGAACAGTAGGCCATTGTAGATACTTGACATTAAATTGTGATACTGAAGAAATTTATTGGGGTTTAGGTTTATTTATATATATATATATATATATATATATATACTGATTTAAATTACATGCATGTGGTATAGTCTTATGATATAACTGTAAAGATTGTTAAATGTGACTGTTTTGTTTAACTTGATGATCTTTTTATAAATAGATACATGCCTGAAAACAAATTCAACACATAACTGAACTTTTAAATCTTCATTAGGCTAGGTTATAAAATTGTCTGGGGACATGCTTCGAGCAGGTCTAGGGACCCCTCCCCGATGATGTAATCAATTAGGCGGAGCCATGTCCCGGAGCCTTTGTTAAATATGATGCACTTCCTTGTTTTCAGTCTGAACACTTAGTGATTAAAAGCCGGTCTTCAACAAAGCGCTCTGGTTTTGTATGGCTTTCTATTTATTCATCTCTTCCATTGGTACATTCTCCGTTTGGTTTAAGCACACAAACTGGTAAATGAACAACACATAACAATATTTTCTTCCAACATGATTTAAGGAATTAGTGATTAAATACAGAAACAATTTTAAGAAAACAACTCTGTTAGGACTAAAAGCTGCTCACTGTGTGGCGGGCTGTACTGGTCCTCAGTGCAGGTCCACGGGTCTCTTGCAGCTCCAGAGCAGGTTCCTATTGCTGCGTTGGTGATGGCCTCTCCTACTGTGAACTGCAGCTCCACCTGCTTGGCCTGCAGGTGAAATAAAATAATAAAAAAATTACTTATGCTCATGTCTGTTAATGATGTGAAAATTCTGTAGTGCTAATGTTTAATTCAGATGTCTGTCATTAATGTCTTTTATACCTCCACAGAGTCCATGAGTCCTTGCAGCAGCTTCTTCTGGTGCAAGAAATCTGCATCCCCCACTGGCAGATAACCCAAAGTCATTATGGATCTTTCCTTCATCTGGAAAACATGGAAAAAGACCAGTAGCTTTAATTATTTTAACAAATTACTCCTGATTAATCCAATCTCAGTAATCCTTGCAGTATAAATATAGCACAAATCTTGCATAAACAATTAAACTTCTAGTTACCTTTGCGATCTCCTTGCCTGAAGTGATACGAGCCAGAAGGTTTTCTACAATAGAAAGTTTAGTAAAGCCCTCCCCCTCTGCAGGAATCAGCAGGGTCCCATTTCGCCCAATTTCACCCAGAGCTGTGCAGGCTGCGATGGCCAACATCGCAGTGCTGTTATCCAGGAAGGAACCTGGAACAAAACAAAAGAGATATACATAATGTCTTCAGTGAAGATGAAAAATCATACATACGAAAAAAAAAATCTTAGAAAATAGTCAAATCTAGGCATTTACTTATTTACCATTGCCTAATTTGCCTAAGCCAAAAACAAAACAAAAACTGTATGATATAATATATATAATTATATTTATAAAATGCACACCAATTGTCCTAGTAGCCATAGCAACAAGCTCATCATCATCCTGGGAGGTGATGCTCATCTCTCGATCTTTGCTTTGTGTTGAGTCACAGGAGGTGACGGCTTTCTTTCTGCTCATGTTCCTTCCCACCATGTAGCCGAGAGCCAAGATAGCGCCGTGCTGAGTCTCAGGACTCTGAGATCAGACACAATGAACGACACATTTAAAACTGGCTGAATCCGTGTTGGTTACATATGCCAGGAAGAGAAAAAAAAAGGGACATACGTGGTTGTCTTTGGTGATCTTGACCAGATTCTGAACTGCGGCCTGAAGCTCGTTTCCTGTCATGGTGGAAATCACTACGGCGTACAGCTGAGCTGCCAGTTCTCTCATGTCCTCCTTATTTGTGTTCATCAAACTCTGAAATAAAAAAAAAACACCTTTATCGCTGTCATTACAGCTAATAATACTGAATAACGACACATGCATCAGAATCTGTGTTTTGTAACACAATCACCACCAATGGACTAATTGTTACATGCTGGGGGCACCTGAACACATGAATACAGTACTCACTCTAATCCAGTCTATTTTATCAGCAAATCTGGGGGCTAGTTTTTCTGGAAACACTGACACCACTTCCAGTAAACAGTACATGACTGGGATTCCTGAGAAGAAACACAATGCACGCAATAAATACACAACCGAGCTGAATGTTTAATGTAATGTTTCAAATTTTAAAAACCTGTAAAAATAAATTTGATAAAGTACACATAAAAATATAGCCTTTTTAAACTTTTGCAACCAGAAGCTGCTCTTCATATTAGTGACAAACAATAACAGTTACAACAGCTTTTTGACAAGTTTAATTTTTTTTAAATACATTCAAAATGTTAAAAAATAAACTACAAAAACTAATTTAAAGTGTAAATTAAAATACAGCTGTTTCTGCAACTGTATTTGATAACGTTTTGAACTTTTAAAATACTACATGGTAAAAACAGAATCTGCTCTTCATATTAGTGACAAACTTTGGTGTTGTTTGATGAGTTACTTTCATTTTTGCTTCTACTTTTCATTTAAAATACGTTTACATTCTCGGCAAGTTTCTAAGGTTCTTCTTCTACATATTAAAAAAGTTGTTAAACATCTGAAAGGCGCACTACTGCTACTAGTGGTGAGAAAGTGTATTGCACCTTATTCAAAATCAATCCGGCCCTCTGCGGCCCAAAGTTAAAAACTGTTGTCCTTTTGAAGCCTTCAAGGTGGCGCTCGTGGGGCCCATGGTTTAAGAAACTCTGCTTTAGAGTAACTGCAGAAGCATGCCTTCTAGGTAAGGCAGGCGACGTCTCTCACCTCCCACTGCAGACAGCAGCTGCTGCAGAAGATCCATATAGATGTATACAGGATTTCCCTCGGAGCCCTTTGACCCGGACGGTTGAGGCTCGGACGACAGCAGAGTGTGGACGTAGCGACCGATGGCAGGAGCGTCATCCTGCATGTCTGACAAGCGTGTGGACATGGGCGTGGCCCCGGCACTGTTGGCTAAACACATCCTCAGGTAGAGCATGATCTGAGGAAGCAGAGGAAACAATATTATAACTATAAGAAACGAGTTTGCAGCTGAAAAATCTTGTCCAGATGCAACAAAGACTCAATATTTACCTCTGCGAAAGCAGATGGGTTAAAAGGAATAGTGGAGGTTCCAACAATGTATTTAGCTGGTGTCTTAATTCTCTGAGCGGCCTGAAAATAAATATTTTAAAAAAGAGATTAGAGAGGAGTTTGTTTTAGCAAAAGAGGAAACGCTGTAATGTAATTCTTAGATTCTCACTTTCTCTTGGATGTAGGAGACCATGTCTGGAAATGAAGGCATCGGCTTTGGTCCTTCCTTTTCTGAGCTCTTTGCAGGAAAAGCTCTCAGCACCCTTTGAGCTTCTGAAGACACCTCTTCTCTTCTAATAAACAGAATATCAACAAGCTGTATTTTTCCTCTAATACCAAACAGAAATACTGGTGTATGCCGTGTACTGTTTATTCAGTTGATTGTGCATGAAATCTTGTTTTTATTATTTCTTTTATACTTACGGGTCTCCAGCAGCCAGTAGCAGCAGGTACCTTGAAGGCACGTGATCAGGAGCAAACACCTTGCTGGCAAACTTCATGGCCACCTGACGGACTTGCACCTCCGGCTGTTGCAAAATAGCAAGAAGACAACTTATTTTATTTTATTCTGGTATGAACTGAATGCATATTCTGCAACTATTAACTCACTTTTACAATGTATGCAGCCACCAGAGCTTCCATTAGATTCAGCAGTGCTCCTTGAAGGTTAGCATACGCTCCAACCATCATTGACAGAGCCTCCTGAATTGCAAGACGGACATCCGGCTCCTCCTGAACAGGATGACATGTCATTTTTAAAATAACAACTTAGACAAAAATATGAAGTATACGTTTAACAAAATGGGCATAAATTAAAATATAACTGTTGATATATTTCAAACTTTCAATGCATTCAATATCAGATGCAGCCGTGTTCACCCACCTTGCACATGGACTCGAAGAACTGCTGCACTAGTGCAATATCCTTAGTGAAAAGCTGCGGCATGCGACTGAAATCAAAAGGAAATTTGTTTGGAAAAAAATAATTACACAGAGGTGGCAAAATTTCAGAAGGAAAAAAATGTACAATTTACTATACCTTGACAACTTCCCAACAGCAGAGTAAGCAACACACAACAACTTAGGATCCTGCAAAAACAGAAGTTTAGTAAATATACAGTAAGATTTATTTTTGATGTGCTTGTTCCCATGTTTATTTGAATACCTCCTTGTACTCATTGATGAGTTTGGTAAGACCGTTAAGCAGCATTAATCCTAAAGGCTTGTTCGTGTCAGGGCATCTGTAAAGTAGGAGAATTTCTTAAATGCAAATGCATTCATGGGTAGAAAAGCAACCTATCTGTGCCAGAATAAATAAAGTGCTCTTCTCTTACACCATGCAGATGTGATGGACGAACTGTAAAGTAAGGGATAGCAGCTTGTTGTTGGTGTTTGCTCCGAACAAGCCGTCGTATACAACCTATAACAGAAAGCAAAGAAGTGAGAATCCCTGTCTGGCTCAGTGGATCTATGACATCAAATCATTTTAGATGGTTCAATAAAATAATTGGATAAAAACAGACATTTTCTAACATATAACTAAAAAAAATGGAGCCCTAAAATCTGAAAATGACGCATCGCTTCAAACACTTCACCTGGATATTAGCCGGAAAGCATTCTGCAGCCAGACGGGACCGGAGGAGATGCGGCAGGATCTTCAGTTTGACTCTTGTGCTCACTGGCTCATGTTTCAGTTCTTGTTTTACACTGCCACCCTGATGCACAAATGTACAAGAGATACGTCAAGTTGCACAAAAACTCAACTCAATTTAGTTAAAAGAAAAATTAATTTAATTTCCAGGTCTCAAACCTTTGTTTTAAGAGGAACATCTCCCAGATACACCCGGAACATCATGTTGATAATTAGAGGATTATTCCAGTCAATGATGCTGGAATAAAAGAAAACACATTCATTACAAATAAAAACTAATGCTGCCGCATTTGCACAGTTGTTTACCCTGTGAATTAACAACATTGTAAACATCACAAACATACAGAACAAACAAAATAAGGAGAAGCGGGTGTCATATAAACTAGAAATAAAGCATTTTGTTTTGCCTACCTCTGTTTGCTCTTCAGCTCCAGATCAGCAGCAGTGGCCACGCTGTGTCGCGTGTCGCTGGACGCCACTACCAGATGCACCACCGTCTCCAACTCTGGGACTTGCTTTGCCTCAATGAACCTCACGATGCCCAGCTTGCACTGTTGCAACAAAGTAGGCAAACTTGTAGGTCAAACTGAGAGGGGTCCAGCTTTGTAAAACTTAGGCCAGAGAGAATAATTTACTCAAGCAGACAAGACTAAAGTAAGTAAGTAAACTTTATTTATATAGCACCTTTCACAGGTCAGAAACCAAAAGTGCTTTACAAAATATAAGACGTAAAAATACAGGAGATAAAACAGAAGAGGAGATAAAATAGCATACATGCGACAAAAAGCAAACAAAAACCCTGACACAGCTTCCTGTTTGAAAGAACATACCTGCTCGAGCTGCTCGGCATTCCACTGGGCTTCTCCAATCACCCTCTTCACAGCATAGACGCTCATCCCCGGGGGAGGCTGAGGGAGACCCTGACTGCTACCAGCCACCGTCCCATCAGCTGAACCTCCCTGGGAGGAGGACGCCGCAGGTCGAGTGGGGGATTCATTCAGGACAAACCTAAAAGTATTCATAAACAAAAACTCAACTTGATCACCAAATTCAACGGTGTGTAATCTTTGTGTTAAAAAATAAACTTTAACATCATTACTATGTCTGCTACCACTGCCTGTTAAAAAGAACGAGTTCACAGAAGCAACTCAACCTACTTGTATTAATAATATTATTCTACTTCACATGTTGAGAGAGAGAATCAGCTAAAAGTACCTTTTCCCATAGTCTATTAAAATATAAAGATAACAAGTTTGTGTCAGTTTTTATCAAAGGTACAAGGAGGCCACGAGGTTGAAATGATGCTTTTTAGTACACAACTACACATTTTACTCAAACGGCACCATTAGGAACTCACCCATAAGGCATGAGCAAGACATCTAACATGAACTCCATGAGAAGGTGAATCGTCTTCGGCCTCTCAGAAAGGTTGAATGAAGAAGCACTCTTGGATGGATCAGCAGGGTACTTCATATGGTAGAGGGTTGGGATCAGCAGGTGCATGAGGCTGAGCGCGGGAGAAGATGGGGAGGAAATTAGAAATTTTAATGTAAACACAGCAATGTTTGATCTTACTATGTGTGGACAGTTTCTGAACACTGGTTTAGGATTCACTGATGTTTGTAGTCAAATAAAGGAAAGTATCTCATTAAGCTGCAGCTGTTGGTGACAAATTTGTAAGATAGCCTCTAAATCATTCCTGACCATCTACTGAGAAATATGTTTGAATATTTTTTTGTAGTTTCCTTTCTTTGCACTCTGTATTCCGTACACTGATAATGTGAACTTTTTCACCTTAAATGCTGACAGTTTACTACTGGTACACTTTTTTTCCCTCATACTTTTTCAGAAAGTGGTAGTGTGTCATTTATTTTATTTTAATTTTTTTAATGGTCAATGGGCACAAAAACAAAACCCACCTGTCCTGTTGAGGCTGCGGCTTCCCTTCCATGGCAGTGAGGAGGGTTGGGGCCAGCTCACATTGTTTTCCTACCTCGAGACGAGGGTAGCCCATTTTAATGTAGATGATCGTGAAATTCTGTGAACAAAGACGTCCATCACATCTCTTCTCTCAAGTAACAAACCAACGTTTAAAGGTCGGAATATATTAATTTACTAACACGCCTCTTTGGTGTAATTTAAGATCTTACTGTAACAAAGGAAGCGGCTGCAGGGTCCTGGTACTGAACCAATAAAGTTTCTACTGGTAGCTGGATCTTTGGTCTGCTTTTTATCCTCTTATTCAGGTGGACCAACAACTCCATCACCTAGCAGTGGAGACACAGTTGTTTCATGAACACATTAGTGAATAAAATGTATATGGCAAAAGAGGACACAGACTCCCATTATTACAGAATTATTATTTGTTCTGTTTATTATTTTTTTTATCAAAGTGACAACTGTAGGTAGAGTTGATAAACATTTCTTAAAACATGAAAATGTCTAGTTTGAAATTAAAACTGTACATCCTGTTTTAATCAATGCAAAATCAGTTTATAGTTTAAAACGAGTACCTTTACGTTCAATTTGCCACCACTTGATAGTGAGGATAGTGGCCCCTAGGATTAAGGTCCAGCTGTAGTAGGACAATGATCCTACTACCTTTTTTATTTCATTTTCTAATAACCCTACTTTATTTCTCTGGGTGAAATGTGGTGAGCATAATTGCAGAGGAAGAGTATGATAGCATGACACAAACATTTTTTAAAACATTTCTCTGGAGTTTAGAGGACAGAGATAATCGTCTCACTTTCTTTCTCACGCCCTCCTGAACACTGGAGAGTTTTAGAAGAACAGGGGGCAGGAACTTGGAGATAATGTCCTGTAGCTGATCATCGGTCTCCGCATGGCCCAGGCGAAGGAACACACGTTCCAGTTGATCTGTCAAAACATAATTTCACTCCATCAGACAAACCCAAAGCATGAAAACTGAACAGCTCATCAATATGAAAACTACAATCTACTGGGAATAAACAATGTGAAGCAACAGCACGACCTTCAGCTTCATAAAAAGAAGGGAAAAAATTACCAGATTCAGACAGTCTCAGGTGCATGTTGCTCCAGGTTTTGCTGATGAGCTCAACCTTCTGTCTCCTCCTGGCTTTAGCTCAGCAAGCAGCTAACAAATGACCAGACTGTTCACGCATTTAGCTTTTTTTAAACCTGTCCTGTACCACTGCCTTTTTTAGAACCGGTGACATCACCTGCAATTAACCCCACATGTTCCAAATGTTCAAGTTGCAAATTTACAATTTAAAAGTTTTGTGAATGCAAAGAAATTATCAACCAGGGCGATAGTTTCATCTACACCATGACTGGGCATACGGCCTCCTGACGTTAGCCTCATGCTAGCTGAGCAGCGAGCTAGCGCACCAGCCCCAGTTTTTAACTGGTTAAAGCTTTGTAGTTTCTTCACGTATATCTTAATAAACAGTACGACGATGATTTAATGATGGATACGTTTCTGGCAATCACCAGCGTGCATTAAATAAATATATATAAATAGTCAATGACAGAGAAAGAAACTTACTGAGTTCATCCTGGGCAGCCATGTTTGCAGGAGGACAACAGCGACCCCCCAGGTTACCCGATGTCACTGCAACTTACCTTTGCCACTCCTCAACCGTCTGTAGCAAACCAGATACATTTTATTATTATTTGTATTTTAATTCAAAATTTATTCATTTATTAAAAAACTTAATTTTATTCTATGTACAATAAAAATAAAATACAAATGAAATGAAATAAACGGCGGCATAGAGAAGAAAAATATCTTATAACATATGCCCCCCTTTTTAACCAAGTAAAAAAAAATTACAGAATGATAATTATCGTTCTGTAATTTTTTATATTATTTTTTAGAGTTAGCAACCAACAAAAAAGACCAATTTCTTTACCTTCCCTCCATAAATAAAACATGTCCAGAGAAAGCTAGATAGAGAGATAACTGTGATTATAATCTTCCATCATGTTGGGGTCTTTTCTGACCATGATATTCATGCTTGTAACAGACTAAATATTAAAAGTTTTTTTTTTAAAGATAACTGATAATTTATGAGCATTTAATTTTCATTTTGCTTGTATAAAACCTGGATCTACTTGTTTTAATCCCTGGGCACTTCACCAACACTGACATGACATGAAAGTTAAAGGAGGTAGCTATGGGGCGCAAAGTGAGCTGGCAATTTAATATAAGATCATCAAGACAAAACATATTAAAATTTCCTGGGAAGTTCCTAAAAAGTTATTTCTTGCCTGAACAAATCACCTGTTTCCTTTGCATGTGAAGTTCCGCTCTTGGACTCGACAGATGATTCGCAGATCTCCAAGTTTACGGATGGGCGTGCTGCACCGCGGCCATGACCACAGCTGATAGTGTGGGACGCAGCCCCCTCTCTCAGGCACGAAGCAGCAGCGGCAGCTGTCATGTGAATCAGCTGGGGGAACAAGGAAGAACATAAACAACAACACGATCCCATCTTGCCAAATTATAAAGGTAATATTTTGTGAACTTGTCTGGAAAAGACGCGTGGCATAGTGGATAAACTGTTGCATGGGCGGATAGGGTTTGTGTAAGCGTGTTAGACTCTAAGGGCTGCGTTTCGTGACTGCTGTGCAGAAATCTCGAAGCTAAAACAGCTAGCTATTATCCGCTTCCACTTCCAAACACGTAACTAGCACGTTATAATGTGCGAATCTAGCGCATGTTGTCTTGTTGTTGTTAATTTGTTTATTGCAAATTGTGCACGATATTGATTGATGCAACATAAGAGACGAGATGAGATTAACTACACGAAGTCTCACGGAAATAAGCTACGGGCCTGTGAGCAGCCACCTTGCTTGCTTGCTAGGGCAGTAGGGGGTATTTAAACTCCATTCACTCGTGTAGTAACAAGCTAGCTCGTGTAGCTAGTTTAGTTATTAATACTTTCGTTTTTCCGACTATAAATCGTGTTCAATGAGCTCTTGTGAAAACCAAGTTCAAAGAGCCCAGCATAAATTTTAAAATCGTAAGTAAGCCGAACTGGCAAGCTGCGCTATTTGTTCAGCCATTACTCGGCATCATAACAGAACGTAGGCTAGCTGGCTAGCTTCCGCTGATAGACAACAAAGCTGACCACGCTAAAACTATATTACTATAAAAAGTGCTACTCAGCAGAGATTTTGTTTCATTTTGAGTTCAACTTGGTTTGCTTTAGTTTCATAATGTCTAAATGTGTTGCACACAGATTATGCAAGACCCAAACATGTTCTGTAATCCTCAGACAAAGAGTAAAACTAAATGTTATTTCTCAGTATTTATCGTTTCAAAACTTTACTCAGTGTGCAGCTGCTTGTTCCAGGATCGGGTTAATTGTATAGTAACGTGGGTCGAAGTGGAGAAAAAAAAGAGAGGTTAATAAGAAATTAAGAGTTTAATTTTTGTGGGTTGATGTGATCTTTTGTTTGCAGGCAGGCACAGTAAAGTCAGAGTTGGGAGTGGGATGGGTGCGGATGGGACAAAAAAAAACTGAAAAGGGCATCAACAGGATTTAATAACATTTGTTCAATCTCTACCGCCATCTAGTGGTGGTTTTATAAATTGACTGTCCCAGGAAGAGTAATGTCAATACAATTGGTAATACATTAATTAACCAATATAAAATGTAATAATGGGATTCAATCATTGTATCTCAATGATAAATGTTTAAAATATAGTAGATTAGCAGAAGTCAGACATTTAAATGATGAAGCATAAATCGAAGAAAGCTGTTTTAAGGACACTGTAAGGAAAGAAAAAACTGTATAGGTCTTCTGGACGGGTTCTTCTCCAATGAAACGTTTTGTCTCTCCTCCAAGAGACTTCTTCAGTCTGAGAGTTTCAGGCAAAATTCAGGCTTTTAAGCCTGTGATACTCACATCACATGGCTATCGTTGACACCTAATTAACACCTATTGTTAACGGGGTGGAGTGATACTGGCAATAGCCTCACTGTAGGAGGGGGACAACTGAAAACGGAGGCCTCCACCTCTGTTTAATGATGGACGGTCTTTCTTCACAAAAATGGCTTCTTTTACTCCTCTCTCAAACCAACGTTCCTCTCTATCAAGAATGAGAACATCCTCATYTCTGAAAGAGTGACCGCTGGCCTGTAAATGAGTGAAAACTGCAGAGTTCTGGCCATTAGAATTAGCTCGTCTGTGTTGGGACATTCTTTTGAACAGTGGCTGCTTTGTTTCCCCGATGTATAACTGGTCGCAGTCCTCCTGGCACTTAACAGCATATACAACATTGCTCTGTTTGTGCCGGGGCACCGGATCTTTTTAGGGGTGTAAGGACACTGTAAGGATTTGATTTTGTTGAGACTTGAGTTGAAATTAGAAAATCGTTTTAAAAATATACCTAACAGAAGTTAATGTTCTTGCAAAAGCTAGAAGTTCATTTAGTTATTCATCATTAGTTTGTTTATTTTAAAATAAGTAAAACCTCCACCACATTGTGTTTTCCAACCCACAGTGTGGTCCTGGCCATCAACTTTAGAAACCATTACTCTATGGAATTAACCAACATATTGAATTAAATGAAGAATATGAAATAAAATAATAATAATAATAATAATAATAATAATAATAATAATAATAATAATAATAATAAAGACTTATTAGAAATGAGTTGATTTCAGGGCATAATTATAAGTTTCTAGCTTTTCCTTCCAGGTTACAGCTGCTGAGGTGGCAGGATGGCGGGGGCAGAGGTGTACACCCCTGCAAACCCCACCTGCAAGATTATGACATTCAAGCCCACAATGGAAGAGTTTAAAAACTTCAACCAGTACCTGGTTTACATGGAGTCTCAGGGTGCACACCGCGCTGGCTTGGCCAAGGTAGGTTGTGATTTCAGCCTCAGCTAAGAAAAAAAATCAACCTAGATGCAGTTTGCCTCTGTGATGAATTTGGATTAATGTGGTTTTAGCTTTAAAGGAAGGTTTCATCATAAATTGTGACTTTATATTTAGAAATAATCAAATAGAAAAATGCAGTGATTATGATGCAGATAGAATTTTCTTTGTTTTTGGTTTATTTTCAATTATGAATGCTTTTGTTTTCTTCTTTTTCCCCTCAGGTCATCCCTCCGAAAGGCTGGAAGCCTCGTCGAACCTACGACGATATAGATGATTTGATGATCGACGCTCCTATTCAGCAAATGGTGGCCGGCCAATCAGGGCTCTTCACTCAGTACAACATCCAGAAGAAGCCTCTTAGTGTGCAGGAATTCAGACGATTAGCCAACAGTGACATGTGAGTATTATTGTTGTTTTTTGATCTTGTAATGAACCTAATCGGACAAGCATTACATTTTAATACTGCCAGAGTTTAATATTGTTGTAAATAATAAAATGATCAATTTAGATTACATAATTCAAATCAAATATTTGTAGAAAGATTTAGCATCAAGATTTTTTTTATGATTTAAAATGTTCATATTAAAAAAGAATTCCTGTGTGTTTGTTTTTCCAAATCCTGAATTATTTTTTTCATCCTCACAGGTATTGTACACCTCGTTATCTGAATTATGAGGATCTGGAGAGGAAATATTGGAAGAATCTGACTTTTGTCTCACCCATTTACGGTGCAGATGTCAGTGGCAGCCTGTACGATGAGGTAGATTTTTGTTGTTATAAAGTTTTGTGTAGTTGTAAAGAGAAAAAAATAACTGAGGCTTGACAGATTGTGAATAACACTCTAACTCTTTACCTCTGTGGTCTATATGTAATTTAAAAAAGAGCCAAATCATCGTTTCCCCTCGGCCTCTGTTTGTTAATAGTTTGTTGCAATGGTCAAGCTTCTGTTTATCATTTTCCAGGATGTTGAAGAATGGAACATCGGCCACCTGAACTCCATCCTGGATGTTATCGAGGAGGACTGTGGTGTTTCCATTCAGGGGGTCAACACTCCTTACCTCTACTTTGGTATGTGGAAGACCACCTTCTCCTGGCACACAGAGGACATGGACCTGTACAGCATCAACTACCTTCATTTTGGAGAGCCCAAGTCCTGGTGAGTGCGGGACAGTGCTTTTTTTTTTTTAGTACGGAGGTGAATGCATCAAAATATCAACAGTGAGTACAGAGTTTCATCAACTCAACTAGAACTGCAAAACCAAATCTGTGATTTCTGATTGGGTCTTGTAAATATATATCCAGTGCTGTTTCCTCTATTGTATGCTGGAAAGTACTTGTTGCTATGGATATCCTTTATTTCTTTAACTCATACCAATTAATTACAGTTCATTAGACACAGTAGAAATCATGTTTCTGAGGGTTATTTGACTTAGAATAAAACAAATTTGTTTATACATTCACCAACAAACCTGTGTGTTGTCTTGACCCTTTCTTTGCCCATAAAAACCCCATGTGTCTCTCATCAGTCTGTCACTAAGCATGCTGTGATTTTGTACTGATTATTTACATCATAAAGCCTGTAATGGTAAAATTATCATATATATGCTCATAACAAGGGTTTATTTGTACCTGCTAATTGAAGGAGCCTTTTGTGTGTTGATTTAATCAAACTCGGAACCTGGTGAAGACGAGATTATATTTATTCTGTCCTAATGCATTCAACCCTGGAACTGAAAGAGGTCTGACTTTCTTTTTCCTGTGACTGTAGTGCAATAATAAAGTCAGTCACAGAATGTGTGTTGTGTTACCTGGAGGTTAGAACTGAACTGAAGTAAAAGCAGGGGTAGAAAAATGCAGGTTGATCAAAACTGGGTTCACTCTTCATTTCTTTGTCGGTGTGGCTTGCCCCATTTCCTTCTCCTGCCCTAGAGGTAGTTTTGCTCATTAGAGCAGCGAACCCTGCGACCCCCACAGGGATCAGTGTCACAGCCAGACGACGACACACACGCAGACAAAAAAGCAGATTTGTATGCCAAATACCCACACATGAATGTACTCTTATCGTCTGACACACACACACACACACAGACACACACTAATGAGCTCTCTTTCATCCTGCTGCTTTTTCAACATCTCATCTCAGGAGGGGAGCAGCTTAAAAATGCCTGGCTTCCTCAGCCTCCCAAAAACACACTCCCTCCAGTCCCCTGTTTCACCACTGCCGGAGGTGGTGTCCCCCTCTCACCGAGTCTCTCAGCGATGTGTTAAGCTGACAGGTGATATGATGATAGAAACGCCACAGACCTGAGGGCGGATGGAGCTCATCGAACTGAATGCATAGTCAAACCTTGAGGGATTTCTGTCACACTGCCTGAGTTTCTTGCTGAGAACTTTAGCAATAGTTTTAAATTTAAATTGTGTCAGCAGTGTTGCACAATAAAATGCAGAATTTCAACCCTTATAGACAGTTAATCTGAGCTCTGTAGCAATCAATGTCAGATTATTTTGTTGTTTCTGAGACACGAATACCTTTCTACCTTTAGATACTTTTTAGTAACATTTTAGGAAGTCGTACATTTTAAATGACCACAGTCTGCCTTAAAACACAAGTCGCCAAATCACAAAATGTTTAGATTTAACAGGAAATTTGTTAAATATTTTTAAACTAATGGTGCAGTGTTGGAAGATGTTGATTTTTTTATTCATTTAGCCACCACTTGATGGCAGTCTTGAATTTTTTTGACATTACTGCTGAGGGAATTACTAATGGCAGAATGTTGCACACACAGAAATAACTCTGTCTCCATCTCTAACAGGTACGCCATCCCCCCTGAGCACGGGAAGAGACTGGAGCGATTGGCTACAGGTAAAAGAATCACTGAAACTCTTTGTGCCGTCTGCTTAAATCAGCAGGGTTATTGCAATTATAGAGGCATGTTGTCTGCAGGAAAAGCAATGAAAACATTAGTGGTGGATGCTTCTGGCTCACAAATATGAGAAAAACTGTTTTAATAAAGATGGTAGCCTTATTAAAAACCTAAATGTTGTGTTAAATGTAGACATTAGATTTAAACCAGAAAGGATGATGCTCTTGTACACTCAAGAACAACATGTATAAATTTAGCTGCCAATGAAAAACTTGAAAATATTATTTATTTGAGCTAATATTTTTAAATGAAAGTGGCTGATTAAAGGCTTACATTATCAGTTACATTCATTCATATATATGGAAACACTAAAGCTAATTTAAAAATAGCTAAATCATTTTTTAAATTAAAGCCATTGAATCCTCTTTCATTGCTGGAGTGTTAAAGTGAAAGTTCAGATTTTTTATGAAGTGTGGTTCTTTGGAAACGTTATAAAGCAATATGTTACTCATGGTAGATCATGGACAGGATCTTTGATCTACCTTCCTGTCTTTAAGGGCTTCCAGTGATGCTTTTTCATGTAACAGCATTTTTAAATCTGGCTAATTCTCTTTGACACAGTCTCTCTGTGTGTGTTTCTCTCTCAGGTTTTTTTCCCAACAGCTTCAAGAGCTGTGAGGCTTTTCTTCGTCACAAGATGACTCTAATTTCTCCTTCCATACTGAAGAAGTATGGTATTCCCTTTGATAAGGTACAGTTTCCACTCAGTTAATACCTTTTGGGTTCTCCTTGTCTTTCAGCTCATCCTTTACCTTCAGTTGTTGTGAAAAGAAGCTGGAACAACCGATATTTTTGTTGTTTGTTGAAGTTTTTGACTATGAAATGTGTTCTGTCACTCTATTGTTCTTGCAAACCTTCTGTCCTGCCTCCTTGTGATAAAATGACAGATTACTCAAGAAGCTGGTGAGTTCATGATCACCTTCCCGTATGGTTACCATGCTGGATTCAATCATGGGTTTAACTGTGCAGAGTCCACCAACTTCGCCACAGTTCGTTGGATAGACTACGGCAAAGTGGCCACACAGGTAACATCTCAGTAACGCCGATCTGAACAGAACTATTCATAAAGTTTTGCATCAGTGCCTGTCTTTAACGAGTCAAGAAAATAGCAAGGCAACAATATTGTCTTTAAACAAGCAAACCRTGTTTTTTGTATTCACTTTCACATGTTTTTTTTTATATTTTCTTCTCTCACCTTTAGTGCACCTGTAGCAAGGACATGGTGAAGATATCGATGGAGCCTTTTGTGAAGCGTTTTCAGCCTGACCGCTACGCCAGCTGGATGCTGGGCAAAGATTCAACGCTTATTGACCACACCGTGCCCACTCCCAGTACGACACCAGAGCTGCAGAGTTGGCTGCACAGGCGCCGTAAAACCAAATCCACTAATAAAGGGTACTGTATTCAAACTTAGGTGTCCTTTGCTGTCCTGATGCATCTCAATAATCTGGTTAGAAAAATCTAACAAGATTGAGTCCGTTCCTCTGGACAGGTTCTTCTTCGTTGAAACATTTTGTCATTGAAATGGTTGTAAACCTTGAATACTATTAGGGGGTGGGGGTTCTAATACCTGACCTGACTCAGTTACCCGCATCTCCTCATACTGAAGATGAGACGGAAACATTTCAATGAAGAAGAACCCGTCCAGAGGACCTGACTCAACCTCGTTAGATATTGTTCTTTTTCTAAAGCTGCATTATTTGCGTGAAATCTGACTGATGGCTTTTAATTTCAAAATTTAAAACTCTTCATACCTTTTGTGGGTGTTTGAGCCTTTTTAAAAATTTCTCTTCTTTTAAAACAGTGGCCATTCTCGAATGCGCTCCAAGCGCCTCAGGACCACAGAGGAGCCAGTTGACCTAGATGACAACTTGACATTGAACAGCAGTAAGAGGAAAAGCATGGGCACTCATTCAGAGTCCAAGGTGCGGAGGTCTGTCGTGGGAAAAACTTGTAAAGATTTAGAGAAAGGAAAGAAAAAGGAAGCCGAGTCCAAGCACAACCAGAATTCAAACTTTTCTCAGTTTTCAGGTAGGACTGTTTGATAACAGTTTACCTCAAATATTGTGTGGCGTTCCATGTGTGATCAAAAAGTTGTTTTTTTGTTGTCAAAATTATTTGAGGTTTCTTTTAAACAACGCTTGCAGTTTTTGGTCATTTATGGTAGTATTTAATTGGTCTTTTTATCCTCGCCAGGTCCTTGCAGACAGATGTGTGTGGTGAAGGTAAATCGTGTCGAGAGCAAAAGTTTGGGGGGTTCTAATAAGGATACTTCCTGTAACTCCAGCTGCCCCGCTTCTCCAGGGAAGAACGAGCTAAAGGCAGCTGTCACTGACTCTCAGGACCCATCAAGGTCCGAAGTCTCAGAGAGGACACCTGAAGGACTTGGGTCAAGTCCTGAGGCTACTCAGAGACACCCGGGAATTAATGAGTCGAGGTGTTGCTCTTCGGTGCCACAAGTCCTCAACTCATCCTCCCACACAGACACTTCTCCTGAGTCAGAAATGGACCTGTGTCCCCTTGAATCTGGGGCTCACGTATCAAGTCCCTCATCTCACAGCCTAACACTGGACACTGACAGCAGGAAACACACAAGTACCACAAATTACACTAACGATACTGTTAAAACAGAGGAAATGGACACAGTTGATCCCAAACATATTAATTCACACTCCACCGCTGAAGCACTTTACGATCTCAAGAGTGAACCAGCAGGGGTGGATAGCAACACATCATCCTTCTTTTCCTCACTGCAGAGTGGCAGTGCTGTAACTGATAGGAACGAAGAAAGCCTCTTACCTCCTCTTTTACAAAGGAATACAGGGGATATGCCACAACTCACATTAGAGCTGACTGACAGGATTGGGATTTGTCCCTTGCCACCTATTTTAACCCAAGAGATGCCCTCACTCACACCTGCTTCTGATGAGCTCACTAATCTTCCAAAGTCTGCATCAGGCAATCACCAGATTGCACCTGTGCTTCAGAGAGAGACGCCAACTGGATCTCCATCCTCACATGAAGCCAAAGAAGAAGAGGTGGATGTAGAGTTGTCAACAAGGCCTGGTGCAGTATTACATGCCAACCACTGGCATTTGGTTCTTCCTGATAATTGTGAAGAGGCGGCAGCATCTGGTTCAAGAGGAAACGCAGCTCATTCACCCGTCAGCGGTTTGCACAAAATAATGTCTGGTGATGTCCACGAAACACTAACACCATCTGCAGTTGCTACAGTTGATCAGACAAAGCTGGAGAACTTCACCTGTGGGCCAAATGACACCACCCCCAGCCAGCTAGATCATAGAACTGCACCTCAAAGCGAGCCACAGCCCAACTTGGATGTAAATAAAGATAACTCCAAAGACACAACTCCAAGAGTGTTATCGGGTCACACAAACAAAACTCCCCCAACCCCTGACCCTACGTTATGTTTCCAAAACAACAGTCACACTGCACTACAACTCAACCATCACACTACACACTCTTCTTGCAACTATGCTTTCCAGAATCCATACACAGAGCCCAAACCCTTCTCCAGTAGCATCTGGAGGAACTTCAGTTCCCAGGGTCCTGCTGTTGTCACCCAGAGTCTGCACACAGACCTTCCTTCTGATTTCTCCCACGATCCTCTGCCCTACGCCATGTGGACGGAACCTCAGTGCAAACAGGTCACAGACCTGGAAGATCCAGCAAAAGACCTTCATAGATTAGAGAACCAGGAAGAGGCAGGTGGAGCTCCCACCTGGGCCCAGCTGGAGCCCACCTCTCTCCTTACAGTTGGTGCTATTGAGCCTTTGGGACTTTGTGACGATTATGACTTGCAAAGAGATGAAGTAGACGAGGCTGTATCCCTGTCACTTAGCAGGGAACTTGGTAAACAAAGAGAAGAAGTGTCGCCTATTGGGGCAGGAGGGAGTGAACACAATGGGGAGTCTGATATGGAAGATGAGGATTCTGAGGGTGAATGTATGGAACAACAAAGACATGCAAAGGGAGAGAGCAGTAGTGACTCATCTGAAGAGGAAGACGAGGACGAAAGTGACACAAATAAATACGAGTGTGAAGAGTCTAGTCTTGAACCCGGGGAGGTTTGTGCTGTGAGTGTTCTTTATGTACAATTATGTTCAGATTTTCACACCAGTACTGCTTGTTTGACCTCTTCAAACTTTCCATGTCTGTGCCAGTATCCTATTCTGTCCGCCAAGAGGACCACTAAGAGCTGGCGTCACCCACTCAGGAAACCCACCGCAAGAGCTGTGCCCACAGCCGTCAAACAACAGGCCGCCAGTGACGAGGGTGGGCTCATTCTCACAAACTCACCCAAACACACACGGCTCATTTAAAGTTATTGTTATGGTTTGGCGTCATAAAGACACTCAAACGGTGATGCATGCACGTAATGTTGCTCATTTCAACAGAAACCCCTGGGACATTTCCTGTTGTGGTCTGTGTTGCATGGATGGTGGCACCAGGCCAGAAACCATAATGTTTTTGAGTTATTTTGGTTAAATTGCAGTGATTCAAAATATAGCCACCATAAAGGGTTTTTTTTTTTTTTGGATTGTTTAAATTTGCAAGCTGAAAATATTGTAACAGATTTTTTATGTCAAAGGGAGCAAATTAAGCCAAAAAGTACATATTTCATTGCCATAGTACTTAAAACTTGGCAAACAAGGTCAGTATTGTAGTACAACAATAATACTAAATTTTGTGCTTTCCCAGAGTAAATTAATCTGCTCTGTGGTTTCATTTCTCCCCTCCTCGTCAAATTGTATGAAACCCCACCATCAACAGCAATAGAAGATTCTGACGTCAGTACGTACATAAACACACAAACATTTAATTCTCTGGCCGACCACAGTTTAATGCCTTAGTGATAAATGATCTATTTGTTTTTTTATGGTTTTAATAACCTTAAAGAGAGGGACCTCTTTAGCTGCTACTAATGCTAAAGAGGTCCAACCCGCAGAGTCACATTTATTATCTTCATAGCTGTGAACTGGAGTTGTTTATCTCTGAGTGAGGAATGATGGTCAAATGAAAATGACCTGCTTCATAACAAGGCAGCTTAACTATTTTGAGCACTTTTGTGCAAAGATGGGTACCTAATAAGCACAGAACCAGATTGGTGCCAATTGAGAAAGATGAAACGGAGCTTATTGGAAAGCCAGTCTCTCATTTGATTGTGTGCTTAGTTTTGAAATTGGTGTGGTTGGATTGGCAAAATGTGTGCGCAAGTTTGTAAATGGACTTAATCCTGCAAGAAAGCACAATAAAGAGCATTTTCAGTTTAGCAAAGTCGAATAGATTCTTACCTCCATGATCATTAGATTTTAAACAAAGTGTTGTTAAATCACAGTCATAGAAAAGTCGATTTCAGGCTACAAAACCTTGGTTGTGACTTTTTTAATTATCACTGAAGCATAATCAATATCAATAACCTCCGTCATTTCTGCTCCCCTGTTAATATAGCAAGAGTCTAATAAGATACAAGCATTTACACTACATACATTTTCTTCCACAAGATCAAACAAGTGTTGTAGCCTCACCAGCAGGTAATTATTGATGTCTAAAAAGAAAGTTATTCAGTATTTATGTCATTGTAGAAAAAAGAAAGGAAAATCCTCAATCCAAAAAAAGTACATGTTTCTGAACTATCTCAACCATCTGTTGTATGTTCAGCTACTGTTGCCATTTTGATGCCTTTTTTTTCTGAAGCTATTAAGATTTTGTTATTAAATTCTCTAAAGATGGAGGGATTAGACTAGACTAAGCCTCACATTTGCAAATGAGTAGAAAGATTGGAAAAAGTAATTATGAGTGTTTTTTGTTGCATAATCAGAAATGGGTCTAATTACCAAATAATTAGGGAGAGATTGGTACTAGATAATGCTGGTCTTTGCTGAATATGGTACAGGTACACCTTTAATGCGAGACTAGAGCAGTGACCACGTCTTACAGCTTTGTTACATGATAGTAAGGTCAAAACATGATTTTGTTTTTGTAATTTTGTATTAGAGCCTCCTGAAGCAAGCCTTGGGGAAGAGGAGTGGGAGGAACAGGAAATGGAAGCGTGGGCAAAGCCCCTCGTCCACCTGTGGCAGAGCAGAAAGGGCTGCTTCACAGCAGAGCGGGAGTACAATGCCCACGCAGCCACCATGCAGCCATGCTGTGCCGTGTGCACACTCTTCATGCCATATTATCAGGTAAACGAGCAGAAATCTGTTAATAGTGCCACAGCAAGAACAAAAGCCAATAATGTTATGGGTTAGCACAGAAGCTGCTGCTGAATAATTACAGTTAAATAATAATAACAATATTATAACTAAACCCTGTAATTTTTATCTTGCTCAAATATTATCTAGAATGATAACTCTTATTTCAAGGAGCACGGCAAACAACTTGTCTTCCACCTAACCTGTCACTAGCTGCGTTTCCACTGCAAATGTGCGCAAAACTCTGTCGATATGCTGTTAATGTCAACAAAACACAGTTTTGCAACTGCTGTGTGTCCATTAAGTAAGAAATGCTATTAAAGTCACGTGTGAATACGCTTGTTCTCGCGATAAGTCATTACAAACATGGCGGCAATGGATGTAAACACATAGCATATTGCTACCGCGACACTAGCGCTCATCATCATCAGAGATGTCGGCGTCTTTTATCGAGGCTTTCGAATGACAAGCCCCTACTACGGAGCGGCTACGTATGCTGTGTTTTTGGGAGATTGTAATCTGTGAGTTTACTACTTTATTTTACTACTTCTGTGATATTACTACTACTTCTACTTCCTGTTATCTTCTTCGTCGTTGTCTTTTTCGCCAGTAGAAACAGCCGGTTGTTGATCACGTGACTCCCGTGATGTGAAAAAAGTGTTTCCATTACAGGTTTTGCAAAAACACCAATTTCGATACCTCCGACAAACCACCTCATCCTAGTGCAAAAACATTTTGTCGAAAAACATAATTTTTTTTCGAAATTGACGTGTTTCCATTGAGCAAACTTATTTTCGAAATTCTAATTTGCGCATTTTCATGGTCAATGGAAACGCAATGTCCCACCGTTTATGGCTCCACTGAAACATAAAAATGAGCCAGTCTCCTCTTCCTGCAGGCTGATGACAGGGCTGAGGATGGTAAATGTCTCACAGCGATGGACCCCTCCAAGTCTTGTTCTGCAATGGATGCCCTGATGCTTCGATGTGGAGGCCTGAGGAGGACCAAGCCCCTGATCCCAGAGATCTGCTTTTCTTTCAGAGAGCAGAACTGCCCCCCAACTCCAACTAACCCCTTGCTGCAGGAAGATGGCACCTCCCCTCTCCTCTACTGCCAGGGCTGCTGTCTGCAAGTCCACGCGAGTATGTGCACAATGCAAACGTGTTGGAAAGTGAGCAGTGATACAATCTGTGGCACAAACTACTGTTTACACTTACTGAACTTTTAAGAGGTTGACCAACCAAACACTGTTTCCACATGTCCTCATCTCGCTGATGTCTTAGTTAGAGGGTCAGTGGGTTTATATCCTGACTCACTCCATCTCAATGTTCCACCTCCGTTCTGCCCCCGACGTCTTTCGCTCTGCGGTTTGAAGTATTTTATTTCCTCCGTCAATTGAATGAGGGTGAATCCTCCATCTTCACCACACGCTGTTCCTGTTCAGGAGCCCCGAACCAGAAACAAGCCCACAAATGTGCATACCTTTCTGTTTGACAATATGCAGCTGCTGTGCAATTTTCACAATTGTTCACAATTAACGCTTAAACCGTGCTAGATGTCTTTACCAGTCGTGTATATGTAAAAGGCATACCCATAGTCCCTCATCCCCTACGTTAAAAACACATTGCATCTCTGTAAATCAGAATCAGTCACTAGAGTTGATCCGGGTGTGCACAGTGTTTTACTCTACACAGTCTAGTGTGTGTGCACAAACAGCTGCACTGCATTTGTAATTGCTTGGATTTGTGTGAGTGCGTGGGAGCAGGAGATGAAGCGTATGTCATTTGACACTAGTGGAAAAAGCCACAAGTTAGGGTTTTCAGACACAAGAATGAGCCCAAGTTGATGTAGATCTCTCTCTGCACAGTAATTTGAACTCTGGAAAGGAAACAGAGGTGGGCTTCGATTTTTACTGTTGGTTTTGTGATGGATCGTCGAGGAAAAGAGCAGAGACATACACGCACATGTGGACTTTAAGAGCTTTGTACAAACAGAAGGCCCCCCCACCCCTCCCCTGACCCCTGCTTATAGGCCCAGAACTTTTATTTCTTGGATTCTAACCATCTGCCTTTTTTTTTCTAAACTGAGGCCTAAATGTAAAATTATCCTTTGTGAAACACTTGAAATGGCTCTGCCACATAAAGAAAACAAACCTAAATTTTGGTATTTGAAAAGTTAATGTTTAGTAGAAAGTAAACACACAAACGGGCGTCTAAAAATACGACAAATCCATTTACAATAACCCTTTCTCATGAAAAGTCTCTTTTTTAAAATCTCGGCCACCCAGATATATCTTTACATACACGAACACAAACACACACACAGAGCTACACAAACCACTGAGATCTCAATTTCCACTCGGTCTGCAATTCTCTGTATGTCTACATGGAAACTCACCACTTCAATGCCATCGAGGGTCTGTGGAAACAATGTGGATGTGGCATTTTGTTCATTGCTGTGTAACAGTAGACTTTCCTGTTGGGTCTGTTGTTTTTCTTTTGCCCTGCTGACGACACGCAGATAGCCCCGGCTGTAACGGCTGAGCAGTTTGTGAATTTAAGGGACTTTTTCTGCAGTTGATTATCATCCATCCCTCCCTCCTTTAGGTTGCTACGGTGTTGCTGCCGATGACATCAGCGAACAATGGTCGTGTGATCGCTGTTCAGAGAGAAGCTTTACAGCAGTAAGACTGTTTAGTTCTTTGTTTGGTTAAATTTTTCAAACTGTCCACGTACTTGCTCACTTTTAGAAACTTAGTAACTGATGCATAGCCTCTAATACACGTGACACAGTCCCGTAAAAACTGCGTTGGTTAATTTCAGGTGTGTTTCTTGGAGATGAGTCACATATCTCTTGTTGTTTTTTTTCAGGAATGCTGTCTCTGTAACCTCAGAGGTGGAGCTCTGAAGAAAACTCAAAACAACAAGTGAGGCTGGCTTTTTGTTCAGTGATTTAATTACCCCCCCCGCGCGCGCTTCATATTTATCCCTAATCTCCAGAGCGCTGCCAAATAAATTGATCAAGGATCTTGATCATGGTAATGTATTAATTTCTGTGTGCGCGTGCACGCAGATGGGCCCACGTGATGTGTGCTGTGGCGCTGCCGGAGGCGAGGTTCAGCGATGAAGCCAAGAGGAGTCCCATTGACACAAGCAGGATACCCATGCAGAGATACAAACTGGTGAGCGGGCACACACACACACACAATCAGTCATTCCTTAAGGACTGGCCTGGCCTGGTCTAATTAATGAAGTGTTCACCATCCTAATTAACAATGTGAGATGAACATGCCCGCAATCAAAGCTGGATAATTAACTACTGGGAGTAGCGCGAGGCTTTGTGTAAGTAGGCCTTTTTTTTTGAGCTGGTGTGTTTTCTGTACATGTGTAGGTGTGTGTCTGCTCCCCCTGTGTGTGTATGCTTAATGAGAGAGGCTGGAGTGTCTCTCAGCAGACCTGACATGTTGGTGCTAAAGTTAGCTCTGTGCTGCAGGCACCGTGATAGCTCAGCAGAAAGCAAGGTGTTCGAGAATCGCTTCCCAGCACAAGACGGGAAACAGAAATGCAATGCTACGTGTCACTTTGCAGCAACTCTTTTATTGGTTCAAGACTTGAGCAGGGAAATATCCCTTTAAGAGGCTTATTCAAATGTTGTGTGAGGTATATTACTCCTCTGACATTGATTGGGACACCAAGTTTGAGAACATAGTGACATTTCCCACGGAGTGTTCACAGGGATATGGTTCAGATCTTCTCACACCACAATGAAATGAGTCTCATTTGGGTTTGAAAACACAAACCTCAAAAGTAATTTTTCACATTCGTGAGCCAAAATATTAACAGAGTAAACATTGTTGTCCAAACTGGAAAGGGCAGGGTGCTTAAAAAAAAAAGAAGCCTCGGACACAACCAGCTCTGTGGCCAAAATGTAGGGACTTCCCTGGTTTTAGCAGCAACTCTCGCTGCCAGATTTCACTCTCCGTAGCAGAGGATTTGGAAGCCAAATTGTAGAAAAAAAAACCAGGTGGTGTTCTTTTAAAGCAGCACCTCCTGAAACCAACAATAATAATAAAAAAAAAAACGCATTCAGCATCACAGATTTGATCTTAATTCAAATTATTCAGTCCGTTTACACTTTGTTCACTTTCTTATTTTTCTCTTGTCTTCATGGGGTCTCGAAGTTTGCTTTGGACCCGCTGCCGCTCCGGCAGCCTAGTACATTCATAATTCACAGCCATGCAACACACACGCACATACACATTCATAATTTACTGTGGGAATGTTCTTAACGCATGGCTAAACACAGGCACCCAGATACCCTCAGCTGAATGCGCAGGCAGGCAGGAAAAGTTTTCTTTTTTTGCTCAACCTGTAAAAAATAAATCAATTTAGATTTATGACTTCTTGTTTTGATATGCACAGGTTCCCTCCATTATACAGTATGTATGTAAATTCTAATGTACTAGCATTCTTCTTTACCTTTCATGCCAGAATTTTATCCTACAATAATGTTATGACAAAATGACAATATTACAATGGTTTTTGTCAACCTCAATCTTAGAAATAACTTATTTTGAAGGTTGAGATTGTGCAAAATCACTATTTTGATATTTAACATGATTTGTAAACCATGACGGTGAACTATCTTTGTTTTCAGCTCGTTTGAAAGTTGTTTTGAGACTCCCATGCTGCCACTCTTCAGTAAAAATGCTAAGATGAGAAAAACTTACAATTGCCCCCCCCAAATACCCTTTCTCATAATTAAAACCTATCATTAAACTTCTTTGATGACTTTAAACTGCTTTCAACTGATAAAAAAATCAGCTTTTATGTTATTGTCAACTGAGATGGTTATATCACAATGATTAGGAAGTGATAGGTTTAATTGCACGTTTAGCATTTTCCTAGCATTAGCTCAGTAGCACAGTGAACCTATATACACCTGTTTGTCATTCAGCGAAGTGCTTTTTTCTAATTGTTGATCAGAAGCAATGATAATCATAACAACACAACTATAATAATAATAATTTAAAAAATCCTTTTTGATGCAGGTAGTTTATGACTCCTTTAACAGGGGGGCGGGGGGGCGTTAGGGGCCCTCAATCATGGCTAGGGGGTGCTGGCCCAACAAGGTTGAGAACCACTGTGTTAGAGCTTATACTATGTATTGTGAAAGGCTGTCGGCAAAAACCACAGTAAATATTTAGCTCGGTATTGTAGAATTGACTGAGTTATAGTCATTTTTGTGTTTGCTAAGATCACTGTGCTGTGCTGGCCATATTTGATTGGTGTATTACCTGCCAGTCAGGATCTCATCAGCCTGACTTAGATGGATTGGACAGGAGGTTCACTTTGTTACCACAGTGCTGTCCATAATGCAGGAGGTATGAAATGTAGGTCAAGTTAGTTATCAAGGAAGCTCTGACTCAAAATCCCTCAGTTGAAAAATGAAGCAGCTATAAAACAAGAGGCTACATTAAGAGAGAGAGAGAGAGAGAGAGAGAGAAAAAAGATGTTAAAGTTTACATCTATTTTCTGTTATGCATCTATATTTCATTTTGGTTTGTCTTCCAAAAAAAAAACCCTGCTACACCTCCTGCTAATCGGCCGTATTTGAATTAAACAGGTTTAGCTGTTAAATGTCAAGATAAAACGAGTTCTTCTGTTGAGCTTAAATTTACTTAATGCTGTCTCAATTAACTAATTAGATCACTTTTTTAATTTTCAAAGGAATGAACAGAGGGCATTTTTTTCAGAGGCTGAGCTGATAACAGAGAGTTGAAGAAAACTTTTTTTTATCGTCTCCCTCTGGGACCATCAGCATTTCTTCTTGGATTGCAGTGGACTTTTTCATATTTCCATATTCCCTCTCACAGTGTGTAGGCACACCAGATAATGCCTGTTCACATTATAATGTAGTTATCGGGCAGTCTGTAAGTTATTACACCCCTGTGTAGAAATATATATTTACATATCAATCAACAATCCCATTTGCCTCTGAGAAAGAGCGCCTCTGCCTCAAGAATATTCTTTTCTAAAAAAGGAAAGGATGTGTGTATGGTTCATTGTGGCTTTCCAGGAGTTTATATTAATGAATAAATTACCACACCTCGAGATGGAAGACAGGGCAGGTAAGTGAAGTGCAAAATGGAGCACAGATGGCTGTTTGAAGGAAATGGAGTGAGATGGGAAGCATGTGAATAGGATGAACGAGGAGGAGCGAACGCAAAGGGTTACAACCGGAGGATGTCGATATTTGTTTTTCCCCCTTAAGAGGAGGAGTGGGAGTGAGGGGCATGCCACAGTTGAGAAAATTGACTTGATGGACCGTTTGGTGCAGAAAGCCTCTGAAAAGCCTTAAAAGTGTAGTTGTGTGTTCGTGCATGGATATGCTTGTGTGAAAAAATGTGTGCGTGTGTGTGCATTTGTGCTCAAGAATACACCACAGCATGCACATGGCAGCACCGGTTTGTTGAGGAAACCTTTAAATCATCTGATTTGTCTTGTTAGCCTCTCCTTCTATTGAACCAGTGCAAGAATTTGTGTCTAACTTTTCCACCTGGAGTTTCCATCTGTTAATGTTATTCCCTTGTATGAAAGATTTGTTTACTCTGCCAATTCCAATAACTGTGCTTTTAGTGAGTGTACCATTTAGACTTAATGGTTTTAAATCAGATTAGAGGTTCTTGGCTCCACTGAGATCAGTCGTTAGTCTTTGTTTAATAATTAAAAATAGTAATTCAGTGGAATTCTGTGGAAAAATTATGAACTGCCACTAGAAATAAGTTTTCCTCCTTTCCTTGCTCCTCTGTACTGCAGGTGTTATGTCTGCCCCGCCCCCACATTAACCCAAACTGTTTTTCAACCCCACCCCACCCCCCATTGGCAAGCTAAAGGATAATGAGAGAAACTAAGACTAAAGTTGTTTACTGCCATCTTGAAACTTCTATCTCAAAAATATTACAAATTTAAATGTCTACACTGCTACTGATTGTGATTTTTTCGATGCGTAATATCAACTGTAAATAATAAAAAAACTAAAGTAGACCTGTGCATATCAGAAGGCGATTTCCTAACTCGTGTTTTGCCTTATTTGTCAATTAACCTTTATGATAAAAAAGGAACAAATCTTCAGACATTCTGTTCTGGCTTTTAGTTTCGATGCCACTTCATTATTTCCAGTGGTCCCCACATGGCCTCCCCGTTACAACATCGCCACTGGCTTTGCCTGTGACCTTTGAATTCTTATTAACATTATTGTTAAAAACAGAGTATTTCCTCAATGTTAAATGTTTTCATTGTATTTGTGGCGTTTAGGACTTCAGGCGCCCAACAGTCCAGATTAGTTTGTGTTTGACCTGGTGGTCTTGTCTGTCTGTGTTTACAGAAATGCATCTATTGCCGTGGTCGCTGTGCAGGGAAGCGGCAGGCTGGCGCTTGTATCCAGTGCTCATGTGGCCGGTGTCCCACCTCCTTTCACGTGACCTGCGCCCACGCTGCCGGTGTCGTCGTGGAGCCGGATGATTGGCCGTACGTGGTGTCCGTCACCTGCCATAGACACCAGTCCCGGAGTTCATCAGCTGTAAGTTATTGGACCGAGGTCAACTTCAGCTCATGTCGTCCAAGTTGTGTTCAGTAATAACTGATCCATGAGTCAGCAGTCTGTTATCTCTTGTGTTAGTTGACTACGACTTTTAGGTTCAGCTCCTCTCATTTTTGCATCAAACAGACTTGTGATCCTAACTGCTGCTCTCTGCTTCCTGTTTGCACCAGAATCATCGAGCATGCCAGGCTTCCATCTCCCTGGGCCAGACGGTGATCTGCAAACACAAGAACCTGCGTTACTACAGCTCCAAAGTCACACAGATCACCTCCCAGACGTTCTACGAGGTCATGTTTGACGACGGCTCTTTCTCTAATGATACCTACCCTGAGGATATCGTGGTGAGGAAAGATTTAATTAGACACACACACTCGAGGGGTCAGCTCACACTTTTACCAGCTCTTATTAAATATACAGACTTTCCCAGCAGAAATGTATTCATATTTCTTTCATCGGAAACCTTTTTGCAGTTGATGTGAAACTGTAAAATGTCTTTTTTTTCCTTTACTGAAACGAAAGTGGTATTTTTGTGACCTACAAGTTGTTGAGTGACTATAAAAAAACAAACATACTTTGTGTGTGTCTGGTTTGGGAGAAATCTTGCACCGTTTTACAGCACTTCACGAGGACCACAGGCATGAAAACCATTCAGTTCTGCGGCTCCTTAAACAATCTGTGTGAAAAATGTAAACATTGGATCCACATTCCTCTTTTTTTTAAATTCCTATATAGAAACCTATATACACAGTATATTTGGGGGTCATGGAAAATTTACTGAAGGAAAAGAACTTTCAACAGAATGAGTCTGTTTGTGTAAGTTCTTTCTAAAAGAAGCATTCCACCTTGTTTTGTTTGAAAGAGTGAATTTTTTCCCTTTCGAAGTCCAAGAATCTGAGTGATGGTTGGTTGGAGACAGAGATAAATGAACATTTTTATTTGTTTTAATGACTGTTGTGCTCACCTTGTTGTGGTAAAGAAGGAACTGAGCCAAAAGACAAACCTCTTGATTTAATCTGCGTTTACATTCCAACCTCACCTATGCTTGTGAGGTATGAACCCTGACTGAAAGAACAAGATCCCAGATATAAGCAGCTGAAATGAGTTCCATCCAGTCAGTAGGAGCTACAAGTAGAGCCACTGCTCCTTGCAATGTAAGGATTCAGCTGAGATGGTTGCTTCCGGTGCCTCTTTTTGGAGGCTTTCCAGGCACATCTCTCTGGGACGAGACCTCCAGGGTAGACCTAGAAGCAGCTTAGAGGACTTTCTTTAATATACTGTAAATTGTCTCTAATAAATCACCAGTACAGTGTAAAGCTACTGCACATTTATAAAAGTCACGAAGTCAGAAACTCATTTTACAAAAAAAATTTTGAAACCAAAACACTCTTTTCTGTATTTTCAGAGCAGAGACTGTGTGAACCTGGGTCCTCCAGAAGTTGGGGAAGCTGTTCAAGTGAAATGGCCCGACGGCCTCTTCTACAGCGCAAAATACCTGGGATCCAACGTTTCTTACATGTATCAGGTACTGCACTGGTCGACCACTTCAGTGTGCACTGGTTTTATCCTTGTGTGTGGAGGTGGTTGAGAGAGGTTGAATAGGTTTTTTTTTTCTGTTTAAGAATAATAAATAAACTTGCAGGAGCTGTTGTTGGTCAGAGTAGCACCCATTTTTTGAGTTGTGTGACTCCTGTGGTGCTGCCTCTCAATAAAGAGAGGCAGGATGAGAAGTGATGATGGGTAGGGAGGAGAAAAACAGATGTTGGAAGTAAAAGGTGTACAGACCCACAGTGGGAAAAAAAATAGGTCGAGGAAAGAGAGAGAGGAGGAGGAGGAGGAGGAGGTGACAATCTGCATTATTCAAACTCCCTGAATTATTCACTGAGCAGAGTCTCTCTGGGCTTCCACTTAAAGCTTTATTTAGTTGAGTTGGGTGTCAAGCATTAGTTATGCACAAATGCCTCTGTGACGCAAACTCTCAGCAAACATGGGTCGCATTTTTATTTTTTTTAAAAGGCTGAACAAGAGTTTTCCATTGTCAAGGTGTGTTTTAAATACGACCCTGTTCCAACCACTGTGTCATTTTAGAACGTTGAATTTCCTGAACAGAAACAGAAACCAGACAAAAAAAAATAAAAAATAAATAAAACTCAAAACATAGATTTAAAGCGTTAGGAGCGCTGAAAGTAGTTTTGTTAGGAATTATAAAGTGTGATATGTTGAATTCTATATTAATAATAGTGCTTAACCCCTCAACAGTTTTTGTTCCAACAGTGGGTAAAAATGGTGCATTTTCTAAATGTTTTCAGATGCTGCCTGGGGCTTTTATTTTGAAAAATAGGGTGACCGATGACTTCCTATGGTTTGTACTTTTAGTTTGACACCCTTACAAAAAATAAAAATTGTCGAAAGGCTTTTAACAAATTCCAGGGGAGACAAGGGGTTAAAAATCACAAGTCATATAAATTTTTTTTCAAACGATAGGTTTAGATCGTTTAAAGAAGATTTCTAAACAATGTCCCACCTGTTGTAGATGGATGTTTGAACAACCTCAGGTTGGAGAAATATAATTTATATCTGACCAGATTAACTAGCAAATAGTTAGTCTGATCAGGGCCAGGTCTAAAGCTGCTTTTATAATGACTTCAATATTTTTAGTGGTTCATGCAAACATTATTTATTTCTGCTTCCAAAAACTAAAACAAAAGAGTATTTTTTGCTTGTGCATGTGTGCACAGATTTGTTTTGTTGTGTTGTTTTTGCACAATATCTAATTTTTACAGCTAATGAGATAAAATTGGACTTGGTAAAAGCTGAGAATCATCCTCAGCACATACTTTAAGTTAAAAAAAACACAAGTAAGAAATTAACTGTTTAGGGATTTTACACAGAACTCAACTTCTAGATTGCTTAAATTTTTTATTGCTGGAGGCAGATTTTGTTTACATGTAAATTACATAAAGCAAATTTTAGATAAGTTAAAGAATTCATCAAGTTTTTTTAATCTGTCTTGATTTCTGGTGGTTTGGTTGGTAATAACACCATCTTTAGAGAAGGTTCACTAAGAATACAAACCTGAAACTACTTAAAGTTTATGGATATTTACGCTTCAAGTGTGCACATGTAAATCTCAGCCCAGAACTGATGTAAATAGGTTTTTTAAACGTTTATGTTCTCTCAGGTGGAGTTTGAAGATGGATCTCAGGTTCTAGCTAAGAGGGAAGACGTCTACACCCTAGATGAAGGTCTCCCTAAAAAGGTGAAACGTAGACTTGTAAGTATTAGTGGCAAACTGGAAAAGCCTGAGTTGGACACTCAGTCATGACTTCCCTTTGCACTCACCAGTTTCCTCCCGTCTCGTTTTGTAGTCGACGGCCTCCAGCATGCGTTTCGAGGACGCCTTCTTCACCACGCAGGGGGAGAGGAAGAGACAGAGGACTCCAAACTCCCGCTTTCAGAATGACTATGTGGCCCTGCCGGGCCTCCGTACAGCTGTCAAAAGCACATGGGAGCAGCGCGGCCACAAGGAGAAATGAAGGGATGGAGAAAGATCAAAGACTAACGAATGCTCTGAAATAACGGTGGATGCCGAGAAGCTTTTTTTTTGTGCTTGAGCGTTAATTTTTTGGGATCTGCTTCCCTTTCGGCATCTGTGGGTCAAACTGCTCTCTTGCGAAAAGTGAGGAATGTCAGGTTTTTGGTTTGTGTGAGCCATGGTACCACCAGTCATGAGTGAGTGAACGGTGTGACAGGCTGGACTCGTTTAAAGCGGGTGAAAAAGAGGGCGTTGCTGCCTCGTCCGTCAGGGAAAATGAACAAGACTTAGAGTAGTCACGTAACCCTTTTGAAAACGACTAATTATGTCCTTGTACATGGAAAAAAAATCAATGTGAATTTTTTCTAAATAGTTCATTAATGAGCTTTTTTGTTTTCTTTTTGTTTTTGCAGGGAGGGTGTTTCTCCTCTAGGTTCCGATTTTGATTTAGAAAGTTTATTTTATGCTTGTAATATTTTCCTGTTTTCTGTTTTCCTGCATGTTAAGCTCCATTTCCTAACTGCTTCCGCTGGGCTCGGTCCAAATACACCACGAAGGCTTCCTATCTGCATAAGGTTTCATCCATAACGACACAATTTTTATAACGTCTGTCATTTGACATCAGGAACTATTGAAGAATCAAACGTAATCAGGTTAATGACTCAGACAGGAAGACACACCTGACATGGAGGATCTCTGGGCCCTGTTATCTTGAACTGCTACTGTTGCTCCGTTGAATGAAATCCAGTGTTGAAAATTATTTAAAATATGTATTTATTTTTGCCTTGCTATAGTTAAAAACTATTGCTAACTGCTGTAAGAAAAAAAAAACTAAAAAATTACAAGTTTATTTTTTATTTTTTATTTGAATTGTTTGTCAAGTCAAATTCAATCTGTAAGAAATAAATTGGTAATTTTAGAAATTATAAAAGAGTTGTGATTTATTTTATTTTTTGTTTTTAAGTTTAAAAATATTTGAAATCCAACAGAAACTTTGGAAGAATAATTTGAAACTTGTTTTAATTGTGTGATTGCTGATTTACATTTGTTAATTTTTAATTTTTCTACATTTTTTGCAGTCTAACTACTTCTTCCTATTTAGTACTATTGTACCCGTTCATCAAAAGGTTCACCGCATTCAGGAGCTGACTTTTGTTTTTTGTACATTTATGTGTACTTTATATACTTGAGTTTGCTCTAGAACACTTTCTTCGTTGACATGAATCCACCAGCATTTAAGGACAATTTAATGTGTTTAAATGTGGCTGTTACATCAATATGAACATTTGTTTTTTGTAGATGGGATGCATCTTTAAAAAGATATGTAAAAAAAGTTAAAATAATTTTAAGGAAATTATACCACTTATGTGACAAAATTGTATGTATTCTGCCAAACGTCCTAAATATTAAGATGGTTTCTTCCACTTTTTCTATTTGTAGGCATGCATGGCACAGGGTTGAGTTGAGTTTAAAGCAGAGGTCTCTTGAACTGGAAGTATTTGAGAGACTTCATAACACCAGATATAAACACGTTTTGTTCAAAGAGCTATCTCCATCAGGTAAGATGTTGATTGTGCATAACATTTTCACAAAACCCCACTCAGAAAATAAATGCAAAGCACTGCTTTTCCTGTGCTGCTGCTATTTGAGTGTCTTGATTTGTCCACTGTGCAGATTTATGCCATCATCTAGTAAAGATTTGACCCTTTTCTCCACCACTAATTGTACGATGCCAAGAAAAGCAACAATATTTCTGTCATCCCCTCTGTACCCTTTCTTTTCCATCCGGCAGACTTTTATAGTCGTTATGTTGAGACGTGTAATGAGCATTCCAGCCTCACAGGGCCTCTTGTTAAATCTGTGTTAGGAAACGGACTCGGGCTGTGAGCGGAGATGTCCACTCACGTTTGACTTTTCACTGTCAAATCACAGCACATGATTTTGCAGTGACTCTTTTACTGTTCCACCAAGAACATGTACTGATGCCTTTAATATTTGAGGATTTATATTTCTAAGTATTTTTTACGACTGATAATACAGCATATAGCACTACAAGGCATTACCAGTGGGTTGCTTTAACAAGTAAAGTAAGATTGGTGCAGCACCTAGCAAGATGGCCGCCACAAATCCCATTGGCAACGTTGTGCATTAGTAGCATTTATGCATTAATGGCATAAATGCTACATTGGCATATTCTGATCTTAAGTTATTTTGTGACCCTATTTTAATATGACCAGTTCTCCTGCTCTTCTTCAGACTAGTGTTGCTGTGTGTTAGTGATCAGAAAAAAACGGCAGCAATTATTTCACTTGAGTTTATTTGTAACAAATGAAACCTGTGTCAATAAAGAACAGAAATCCATACAGACCTGCTTCTTTTTTTTGTTGTTTTACTTTTTTTAATTAATTTTTTTTCCATTTTTGTAATGTAAGAAAATAAAAAGCACTTGTTGACTCAGATCTGGAAACAAAATGAAAACAGTTTACATGTACAGACCAATTGGAGGTAAATGACCCAAGTTAACACACCATATTTTCTTTTTTTTCCTTTTTTTTTTTTTTTTTACAATTTATAAACTCCAGTTTAATCCATCTACATGATAAGTTAGGGGGCGCGGGTAGAATAGAACATGTTTTTGTGAAACTTCTTTTGTGGGACGACAAAATCCACAACGTGGTGTATTATTGCACACACTGCTGTGCCATAAAACTGTGATCGAAAGTGCGTCCTCTTATATCACTCATTTTATCTGATACACCTCTCTTCACTCTTTGCCTTTACATTTATATCATATGTATTTATCCATTTAGGTATACCTTTCAGTTAACTCTGTGTTCTCTGTGATATTTACATATACACAACTGTGTGAGAATTACAAGATCCATCTTTAATGAGTTCAAGTAAGTCTCCTTTTTGTGTGGGGGTTGGGGGCTCTTACACATATTAGTATTAGTGCATAGTACAAAGAGAGAAAGTGCAAGTCTTCCCATGACCCCCGTGACCAAAGGGGGGATCTCAAAAGTGATGCCATGCATACAAAAAAATGACGACAGGGCTTCCTGTAAGATTGTGGACAAATGTTGACCATCTTAAGTGTTAACGACTACATCCGTTTTGTGCTGTTAGCACCTTTGTCGATGTTGGAAAACAGACAGGAAACCACAGGGCGCAGACGAGGCTTCAGGTTGATTACATAATCCCATTTTTTTCCCCTTCTGTTTTTGTTCGAACTACCAAAATGAACCGTTCAGCTTGATAAGGATTTCTGCATAGCTGAGCAAGTGTCTGAGCCGAGTCTCCACGTGAAGAGGAAATACACAACGCTCGCATAGGTGCAAGAAACAATGGGCAGGGCTCAAACTTTTCTGTTAAAAAAAACAAACAAACCAAGATCAGACCATTCAGCTTCTGTAACACAATACACCTGATTAAAGGAGATATGATAATACAGTTTAGGTTTGAAAATAAACACGGAGCCGCCTCCTGCTGGAAAATTCACAGCCAAAACAAGAAAAAAAACAACAAAATACTTTCACATATCATAACTGAACAAAATCAAACATTCAGATCCCACAAGCATACATAAAATACAGACAAAAAAACCCTTTAATGTAACTTTATCAAAATAGGCGTGTAATATAAGGCACTAGAAATCTAAAATCAAAAGACTTAATAGATGCTGTTTGAAATGTGACTTCAGTCGCTCTCTTGCTCGCCACAGGAGGATGACATTGACTACTGGAGTCGCAGCATGGTGAAAGAGGTCAGAGGTCACTCCTCTCGGACACGCTGAATGGTGGGGGTAAACCAAACAACAAACAAACAAACAAACAAAAAAGAAGTCTTAACATCATCATCATCATCATCACTACCAACCTCATCATGGCAAATAACTGCAGTTAGTGACTCCACATGAAAAATATATAACACATCTACTTATTGCACACTGAGTCGGACAAAGAGAAAAGTCTACGGTGAGCATTCCAGAGAGAGAAATTTGTCCCCTCTGCACCAAACCCCCCCCCGCCCATTTTCGACACCCCTGCTCAAGATCTCCGTGAAGCTTATTTTGACACATAAATAGTTGTGTTTTTGAGTATTTTTTTTTCTTCTGTGCACACTCTGCACTTGTGTTTTAACTGACTTTCCATGTAAAATCCATAGAAACAACTTAATAGGACTACTGGACCCCCCCTTCCCACTGTGCCCCCCGCTGGTGGGCACCATCTTTATAAAAAGGTTAGGGCGGAGAATACGTGAACGACACCCAAAGGTGGCATCTGTTGCAGAACTGTGAACGTTTTCCACACTAGATTTTGATTGTACATTTAAAAACAAAATGGCTACAGCTCGTTCGATTTTTACACAGGACAAAAAGAAAAGATACAACCTTGGTTTTGTTTTTCTGGTCAGTGGGAACAATGACAAAATAACAAAACAAAACAAAACAAAACAAAAAAAAAACAGAATATGTCAATGGGGAATATAATATACCCAGGTTTTAAAAAACAATATAGTCATATATCTTTCTAAAAAACTAAATTCATGTTTTACTTTGTGGTGTGCATTTTAAACCTCGTACATTTCCCTTATTTTAAATGGTTCTTATTACTGTGTGGTAGAAATGTTCACTTCTTATTCACAGGAAACAAGAGTCTGTTTCTGAACGTAAGTAAAAAAAAAGTTGGTTCTTTCTTTTTTTTAAATATATGTGAGTTATTTTTTTTAATTTTTTTTTGTCTTTTTAACACTGAGTGCTGTGTTTTCAGTCTCCTACAGGCAATTCTCTGGTGCTCCTTCGGTCCATGAGGCCTTCATTCAATAGATTTGTGGATTCCCACTCGTCGGTCCTTGTGATGTAAGAAAATAAAAAATCAAAATTTTCAGGTGATTGATGAAAAATACCGTAGCTTGGTCCTTTTGTTTGGTGATGCTACACTGGTGGTGGACGAGGTGAGAGTTCCACACCTAAACAACACAAAGCATTCTCGGTGCTCACAGAAGCACTAAAACAGAACAAAAACAAACAGAAAAAAAATCCATATTTGATCAAGTATTCTGTTTGGGAGCAGTGGTTGAAGTTGCTGCTTCAGACTGACCCAGGGGTGCGTTTGTGTTTGGGCTGAAGGGGTGGAAGGAGACACCCCCTTGTCAAAGCAGGATGCTATGGCTCAGTTAGAAGTGCTGTTTTTGGGTACGGGACGAGCCGAAGGCCTCTTCCCCCCCTTCGCTCTGCGTGTGGTGGCAACATCTTTACAAACACGTTCCAGCCAGGGCGCATTTATTTAGGTTGTGTGTGACACTACAAAAAAAGGGGAGCGCTCGGCCGAACGTGGCGTGACAGACAGCAACTGGCTTTATGTTGCATAGTGATCGAAGCTTCCCAAATACTCCAGACTGGCCCGGTAGCAGAACTGGTACTGGTCCTGAAGGGACGCAAAGGAACAGTCAGTGGCAGGAACCAAAAACAAAAGAAGTCATAACAATGCTAATATAAACAATAGAAATGTTATTTTCTGGGAAAAAAGCTAAAAGTAGCAAAATGCTAGCTGAAAGCAGCAAACAGCTATCTCAATGCAAAGCTATATCACAAAAGTGGCAAAGGGATGTCTAAACGAATCTAAAGCTAGCAAGACACTAAAAGTACCAAAAGGCTAGCTAAAAGTCAAAAGTATTAAAAAGTATTAAAACCAAATGTAGCAGAGCGGTAGATACAACTAAAAGCAGTCTAAAAAGAATAAAATGCTGAAGCAGATTTTAAAGCAATCAATGTATAGTACAGGAAAAATAGTTGTAAATAAAGTACAAAAGTTAGAAAAGCTACACATCTTAGCATCAACCTCCTGAAAAATCGGAACATTTTGATGCATGAATGGCTAAAGTAGCATGCAAAAATTAAATGGTGAAAAATGTTGAATCAGCACATTAAGGAGGCTTGCCTCTGTCTGAACGGTGGCAGGTCTCTGAGTGCGTAGCATCTTCACTGTCTGGAAGATGTCCACCACTCCCTCGTACCTCATCCTCTCCAGGACGATACTGAGGGTGATGAACACACCCGTCCTCCCCACTCCAGCACTGTTAATGGTAAAGCAAAAAATGCTTTGAGAGTTGTGTGTAAAAATTAGAGCAGCTGACCAGTCACAGTCATATTTGAACTTTGATCCACTTTGGCCTTGGAGCCATTAGCTCGTCAATTTGGTCTTTGTTGCTCTAAAAGGTGGTTATAAAACACTAATAATGTTGTTCAACAGGTTAGACAGTTATTGCTCATAGCTTTTCGACAGAACCCCACTTCAAAGATCGGATCTATTGCTTTAATTCTATAAATACAAAATGTTAAAATCGAGACATTAGGTTATGTTTCTTTTTAAATACAACTTTTCCGGCTCTTCTTTGTGAGGAACAGCTGTCAGCTGTCACCAATCTGAAGGCTGGTTTCCTTTAGCGTCTGAATGTGAGGCTTTTAATTCAGTTTTCCAGGTGAACTGTAATTTATGAAGAGAAATCATCTCGTAAATGCATGTGCACGCCTCGTTCTTATAAATGCGCTCCCTCTTTTCCTGCATGCCACTTCCAGCTTTTGTGCACACGATCTCTTTCAGTAAGGTTTTTTATTCAAGAAGCCTGAGATTTAAAATGCCACTTTTACACTCTAACGTTTTACTCTGCTGCTGTATCTAAAACGTGGTTTGACATAGTCTTACTGAAATCAGGAAGCTTTATTCTGAAAAAGAAATCTTCTTAATGAGAGCTTATATTATTCCAGTGAACTGGATACATTCACAAATGTGCAAATTGAAGCAATCTGCAATCCAGGCGTAGACAAAAAGTGCTGTTTTTAAACAATGTCCTCTTTAATGCTTCACCTCAATTGATTCTGAAGGTCAACCCCCCCCCCCCCCCCCCAAAAAAAAACCTTCACTTGTTCATTTTTTTTCTTTTTTTGACTCACTGTGTTAGCCATTACTGAATGGGGTGGATATATTTTGATGCCAGAGAAAGACCATCTCAAACAATGACTTCGTCCAGTCAACCATTTTGGACTGTATTTTTTTCCCCTACACTACGCTGTCTGAACCACTGAGGTAGTTTTAGAAAAACCCACCTGCAGTGCACAGAAATTGGCCCGTCTTGGCCAAACTGCTCTTTAGTTTTGTGCACTTGGCCGATAAAGTCGATGAATCCTTCCCCTGATTTTGGCACTCCTTGCTCGGGCCAATCAGTGAACTGGAACTGACGAACTGTTCGTGATTGGCCATCCTGAAATGCAGAAGATGCATTTTTTTATGTTCTACAGTAAACCAGTAGAGCTATGACTGTCTTCCACACATAAACACAGAAACAAACTGATGTCTCACTCTGGCATCGGTCACTTTGAACTCTCGCAGGATGTACTGAGGCATGTTATATTCCGCCATGGGATCCACCACAAAGTACTGGTACCTAGCCGAGCGCTCCGCGGGCCAGTACTGGTGGCACTTCTCCTGTGGAGGACACAACAAAGGCTTCTTTTCAGACCTCCACCTCACGTTTAATGGATTTGATTTAAGGTGAGCGTTTTCAGGCTTCAGTTAAAATTTCATAAAATCTGATGTGCTTTCCTGAGTGTGTACACCGTACCCGTCCCATTTCTCTCAACTTGGTTAGCATGACGACTATGGTGGAGTTGTGCTCCCACAGCATCCTCCAGTAGTCCTCTGTGGTCTCAGCCAGCGGGCCTTGGGTTGCTATATACGCCCGCTGCTGCCTGCAAGCACAAAAACACAATAAAGGCACGAAGATCACAGACAGGATCGACCGACAACAGATAACAGCCAAAGTTCAGTTTGGACCTGTATCCGTCGATGAAGCTGGCGTTGATGTAGTCAGACCCTTCCACTCCTCTGATTGGCTGCAGACACACGCGCGTCGTCTCGTAGGGCATGATGTTCACCAAACGGTTCTTGAACTTGTTGCATGGCAGGTTGGCACTTACGAACCGAGATGTGTGAGCCTTGGCACTGGCCAGACGCTGGGATAGAAAGAAATATGGACAAATTCAGATTAATAAAGACAAAGAAATCAGACATTTATTGAGAAGTGTTTAACCCAAGTCCCAGTCTGTCCTTGTCAAACTGGACGAGTGAAACTGAAAGATTGAACTGGGGACGGGCCTCAGGATATTTAGTCAGACATCTTAAATTGAACAAACAAAGCGGGGGCGACTTGAAGGGATCGGGGAATGGAAGAGGGAATATAATAAGACGAATAAGAGGAGGGGAAAATCAAGAGTCGGGGTGCAGGAAACCACAAGGCCCCACACTGTCTCAACTCACATATGCGAACCACACTTGATCCTATACCAGCAAAAACAAAAATAAAATGCACCCCTCATCCTCCCCGCAAAAAAAAAAAAGACATAAAAACACATTCACATGTATGTATATGTGCAGACAGGCATTTAGACCTCCCTCACATTCGACCATTGGATGACTTGGCTTTAAATGAAAGACAGAGCAGCAGAGAACAGACAGAGTCAGACCGCAGACGGTGGGGGAAACAATGGGGTCTCGTGAACCAAGCCTCGGCCGTGAGAGAAACAGCGGTACCTTATTTTCTTATGGGCAAATGAAGCTGGAAAATCCCAATGACCACAAACTCACAGCTCATCTGGGCACGATGAACCCCGCTTCCAGCATCAACAACTTTAATCTCCACATCGTTCCTACTTAAATCTGCGCTGTATTATCAGTAAACAAGTACAATCGTATTTTTCTTTGATTCGTCACATACTTTCTTTGAACTCAATGAGTCGAGAAAGAGCAAACACGACGTCTTAAACGGGGAGCTGGAAAACCACGTTTGTGGATTTTTCTCTCACACGTCCCTAGCTTTAAGTCTTCCATGAAAACGAACAATAAAAAAAAAGAAGAAAATCCCCCACACTTTCAGCGTTTTGTTGAGGAAAATGGAAGTTTCAGACGGCGGACCATAGCGTCCCGTAAAGTGCTCAAGTCAGATGAAATCCCAGGATGATCCTGGCGTACGGTTTATATTTACATAGGACTGAAAAAACAGCTGAGCACTCGTTTCACTGTCATTCAGAGAGAACGCTGTTACTAGGAGAGGAATGCTGGGGCACAGGATGAAGCAGATTACAACCAGTCGCTTTGTGTTGACTTTACCCTCTGATCGACTGAGCAGATATACCACTATAGGAAAAATCTAACACACCTGCTTTTGCCATACACTCCACAAACCTGGAGTCTGCAGGGATTTCATTAGGGAATAGATAAACAAAATAAAATGAAGTAAAGTAAAACCATCTTTGTTTTTGTACTACTGTTCCTTGTGTTCTTATGGTTTTCAGATTGTGCTTTTCCCCCAGCTTCATAAGCCTTTAAAATCGTGTAAAATCAAAGTGGATTGCTTTATTTTGCCATTTGGTATGGGCTCAGTAAAAATAAAATGTTTTCTACCTTTAAAGAGTTAGAACACCAAACTTTATAAATAAACATGAAATCCAAATTTAATGAAGTGTAACCGTAGGAAGAAATGCATAATTTTGGTAGGTTTATTCAATTTTATTTTCATAAAATTGTTATTGGTCTTGTTCAAGAAGTAGTTAGGAAAATAACTGTAAAGCCAAGCGGGGAGTAATTAACAGAGAGCGGAACCCAGCGAGGTACCAAACGTCATTTAAACAATTTTCATTTTCATTTAGAGGTCATTAAATTTAACACAGATTGCTGACAGCACGAGAATCTTATCAAATATTGAAGTTTTTTACTTTCAGATGAAACACAGGCTGAGACAAAAGCAATTCCGGGAACACCGATAGAAACCAGTAAATCTTAGAATAATTTATTTATTTTTTTAGTCTGACCAAAGACTGGGTTTGAATATTATCAGCTGGCTGACCATTGCAATGTTTACATTAGAATAAAACTGTTTTGTGTCTTATCTATGAGTTGAATGCAGTTTAAATAAATAAAAAAATACAATGTTTACCATAAAAACTTCAATTTTGTTCATGAAACAGCTCCAGGTCATGAAGCTTTCTCTCTCCATCACTAGAAATCTACAAATATAGTTATGTCCTCGGGGTGTTATAGGACAGATGTAGGATAAGCAGCAGCTGGCACTTAAAAACAGCTCTGCCTAAACATCGCTGTACTAAACAGTAAAATGTTCAGCTGAGGTACCTTAGAAATTAGTTTGTTGTTCCTCTAACTTTATTTTAAACACCTTAAGGGGAGATAAACTTTGAATTTTTGAAGAAAACTTCTTTATCAAATGTGTGAATCTTGTGATTTGGCTGTTGTTTTAATGAACGGACAAAACAAAATTATTTTTGAAGGTTGAATTGACTGATTTAATTCTGGTCATCTACCAAGGAATTGGTTCATTCTTAGTGAGATTTTTAAAATATATGCAGAAAATTCAAACATCTGTAGTTTTTATCACATGGGAAAAAATGGACCAATGGGAGAGTATGTATAGACAATGATTTTTCTGAATATGTCCAAGTAGCTATTATCCATCCATCCATCCATCCATCCATCCATCCATCCATCCATCCATCNCCATCCATCCATCCATCCATCCATCCATCCATCCATCCATCCATCCATCCATCCATCCATCCATCCATCCATCCATCCATCCATCCATCCATCCAATGTGCTTGTGGGGAAAAGGTGGGCTACATTACTGACTGCAGGTACAGTTTTGCACATCTGACCCTCACAGATAACCAAATAGGTGAGGGCTTCAGGCTCATCCAGCACCTTCTTATCAACATGAACCAGTTAGAACCTTTGGGGCCGCAGTGATCAGTCCTAACCTTGAACTCCAGCTCCATGCCTGTGACGTTCTCTCCTGGCTCAATCTGCGTCAGCCTCTGGATGTAGGAGTACAGGTTCCTGGCAGGGACCTCTGTGTTCCCGCAGGTCACTGCTTCCAGCAGCGCGTCGTGAATAAAGATGTACTGGTCCTCCGTCTGGACCATGTAGTTCCTCTGGGAGCGCATTAGTGTCACGTGACCGTAGATGTCGATGGTCTTCTCGTGCTTGATGCGCTCCGACATGGCGTCGATCACGACGAAGCAGCCGGTCCGGCCCACCCCAGCACTATAAGCCGATGAACAGGGAAATAATAATAATAATAAACAATAAACGAAGCAGGGAAACAGATGGCAATATGAACCCCCCCCCCCCCCCACACACACACACACACACACACAAAAGTTGGGAGTCATTTTCCCTGGCTGCGTCTTTTCCACTAGTGCAAATCTGGCTCTAACTTACAAGAAAGCACAGCAAAAGATGCCAGCCAGCAATATTTCCAACAAAGAATGTGAAAATTAAAATCAGCGATGAGTCAGCATCGCCGTCTGGCTCGCATAGGATGATATCACCCCTATCGACATATAATCCAGATATATAATACGTTTAGCTGCCCACCAAAACACTTCACATTTCTGCTGTGTTGGTACCTAAACGATGGGATGACCTGACCAAGCAAGTTTCTGCGAGTGAATAAAAATCTCTTTAACATGGTTAAATTAATATCACCCTGTACATTTGTGCAGATGGAATGAGATTCAGCCCTTTGTTCGATACAGAGGCTGCTTGGTACGTTAAGGCACATTATGATGGAGTTTTGCCGAGATAATTAAATTTGACTGATAATCCCGTCGGATACTCCATCTGACTGTGACAGAAGATTAGGAAGAGCTCCTCTCCTGCCAGCCTTCTTGCCCTCATCTCCCTGCCTCTTTATCTTTTCTCTAAGCACCCGTCCAGAACTTGCACAGCTAGTGTTGCCACTCTTTCACCCTCACATTTGTACACCCCCTCCCCCAAAAAGTGGTTTTCTCTCCATCTCCTTTTCTTTAATTCATCATTTTCACTCATTGCGTCCCGGATTTGACCTCACCTTCTCTCCCATCCTGCACCGAGTCTCCTCTTCTGACTTCCACTCCCTAGGTAGCACTTTTTCTCAATCATCGTCTCAATCCCTCATTTCTTACCCCTCACCCCCACCACCACCACGTTCCCTTTTCCTGCACATTTATTCTTCCTCCTGAAAGCTTTTACTCCATATTGCCTTTACTCAGCTAAGCTCTTTATTCCTTTCGTTACTGCAAAAAGTAAAATAGCAGCTTCTTCTTCTTTCCAGCATTTGAGCTCAACACTGTGCCAAGGCAGTAATAACATGTTTCCAGAATCTTCTCAGATTCAACGCAGAAACCTCCTGCTGCATAAACAGCAGTTCATTTTCATGTAAACTTATGAACTCTGATTCATCAGGAACTTAAATTGTAAATTGTCAACTGTTAAAGCTAATCATGGGGAACATTTGAGATGATGGATGTTGTTCAGAAAGGAATCTGAGTGTCTAAGTCAGTGAGGGTGGTTTAGGGGTTTCGATAATGGCAGGTAATTTTTAGTTTTGTCCAGAACCTCAGAATAGTTTAATACAAGTGCTCTTGGACTCCAGTTGATTTTCTCAAACTCAAACCTCAAATCACCCACAAGTGTTTCTAAGATCGGATTTGTTTCTTTTGGGTTACCTGGATTTATGCGGTGAATAATTTGTGCTCAGTTTGCTGATAAGAACCTCAGCTGACGATACCCAAACACAGACGCACCTGCAGTGAACGATCATGGGTCCCGCGTCAGGGGGGTTGCAGGACTTGACCCGACGAAGGAAGGCCAGGAATGGGGTGGGATGTTCGGGCACCCCGTGATCTGGCCAGGCTGTGAACTGGAAGTGACGAACCTCACGCTTCTCATTGGAGCCGCTCTGTAAACACAGAAGGAGAGCTCAAGATCAAACAATAATGTCTCGCCTATTGTGGACAGCTCTTTGAAAAACCTCACATAGGAAAATTAAGATCTACTTTTGGTTTACCCTCACTTGGTTTAGCTGTCAGTCTGATCTACAACAGGTAAAATACAGTAAATTGTCATAAATGTTCTATAGAACCTGATTTCCTCTGTCAATAACGATTTGAAGTATCTTTTTGGCCATGTTGTTGAAATATCAAACGTGTACGATTGAAATATTTTCAATGTGTTGAGACAGATAAAGTCCAGATGATAAAATCTGCATTCTGACATGCTTTTGTTAATATTATTACAACTAATGTGTCCAATATAAGACATAACATTCAGTTCAAACCCTGCAGTGTAGGCACCATCTCTAAGTGGAGCTGTTTAGTAAATATTTTATTACACGACTGCCTTTCGGGACACAAATTAGGCCGCTTTTGTGAACTTACTGAGATAAGACCCCTGACACTTTGTGCAACTGATGTACTCAGACCTGTTTTATAACCAGAAGATTTTGTACTCAGATATTTACTCCAAATTGGATAAACCGGTAAGAACAGAGCACATACAGCCACTTCAACTTTAATTTTCTGGTATTATCATCCTGCCAGACCACTGATACATGAGCATGAAGACGAGTGGGACAGAGTGCTGAGAGACAGTTGAAAGGAGAAAACTATTGTATACTTAAAGTATCTTTTATAATTGAATAGACTGATGTACATTTCTTTCTTTTGTAACCTTTCCACCTTTTCCTCCAGTGTCTGAAGCAGCTTTGCGGTCTCATTTAACACTTAGCTCACCGGCTGATCCTTTGGTAATATGTTTCTCTCTGTTAAGACTCCAGCAGTAAAATATCACTTGTGATTTTAATATATGGTATGTGACTGCAAATGTTACAAATGTGTTTAAAAAAACCACAACATTGGCACTTAACAGCTAACACATGTGGCTCAACAACACTCCCAGCTCCATTTTTCCACTATGTCTCCTATCACTGCATTAATCCCTCAGTGATGGCTGACATTTTCTCTCATCTATGTTCATTTCTGGACTCTCTAATACCTTTAACCTATTTTTTTGTAAGACTTTGATTTATTAAACACTTGTGCATTTACAACATCAGTTTTTCCCCTGTTCATTTATAGTTATTATTGTTAAACGAGTTCAAGCTTGGCAGCTTTTCCTTTTGCTATAAAATCAGCAAGATTTTTTCCCCCCACATCTAAAGAGCTCTTTACTGTCTGACATCAAAAGGTGGGGGATGTAATTTTCTGTATGTGTTTGTCATGTTAGCAAAATACATCATGAACCTCACGAACCAGCAGTTTGAAGGGAACTCTCAGAAAGTGATCATTAGATGCACAAGTGACTCAGCATTTTGCAAAAGTCTCAAATCATCTTTGCTCTCAGTGTTGTGGTCCACTCACACGTGGACAGCTTTACACCTGGGTGTAAATTATGTGTGATGCGATGTCAACAGGCCACAAATGTTCAGAAAATATGAGGAAGCAGGAAAAGGCACATGACATTGCTGTAAAGTTTAGACGCTGCAGACGGTGAATTCATCCGAACAAACTGGGGCTTTTATTCCTAATTAGTCTATTTGAAGTGAGAATCTGAAAATCTGTTTGATTACAGTAAAAGCAAAACGCTACTGATGGGCTGTGTTTGCTAGGAAATGTGTGCTTTTGTACTTAGCCCAGCTCTGCTGCATTACAAACATTACCTTGTAAAGAGCGAAGGTCCTCATGGAGTATGTGGCCAGCTCCACTGTGTCCAGCAGAGTGACCTGGATCAATCCGTAGGTCTCGGTGCCACGCGTAGGCCAGTACTGATCACACTTCACCTAACAAGAGAATAGAAGCAAGGCTGAAACAGAGTGGTGGGCACGAGTGTGTGTGTAAAGAAATGTAGAAAAATGCAGAGGAGGCACATTTAAAGGTGCAAAAAAAATACAAATAAAATAGAAGAAAGGAGTGAAGAAATAGATCAGTGACAGATTGAGCAAAATTTAAACAGTAATGTTTGGGAAACAAATATGCTCAGAAGACAAGTCCAGTGTTTGAAAAAAAAAAGGATTTTAGTGAGTGAGGTGAAAAGTGAGAGTAAGATAAACCAAGGGACATTTAAGTTTCATAATATTTTTTAGTTTAGTAATAAGATCTCAAAAATATCTATTAGTGTGTTTCAAAAACCCCACTGAACACTGCCACATATTTCAACCTTACAAATCCCAGCAAAGCTCTCACAGAACACAAAATCCCAGCATCCCTCAACCAACAAAACATCTAGAACTCCCTGATAATGAGGGCAACCATTTTTGTAGTTCACCAGCTCAGACTCAGAGACCAGTAAGGAGGGAGGAAAAATAAATAAAAAATCAATCCCAGAGGATAAGAAAGAAGAGAAACGAGGGCCCTGGCAGAACCAGGCCAAACCAAACGTTATGTGCTGATCCCTCCAGTCCTCACATCAAAGACAGCAGGGAGCTCAGCTCAGCTTGCTCTGCATTCCACTGCTCCAGACTGGGGATTAGGCTTTTTGGCCCGGGACGTTCAGGCTGTAATTACAGCTTTCCAATGGTTGTTTTCCCACCAGACCTTGAGACATTGCGGGGACAGAAATGGCTGTCCACGTAGGGGGGCTGCTCAGTGCCAGCTACTACAGAGGATTTAGAAAAAAATAAACAAATAAAAAGAAAGAAAGCCTGGTGTGAAAACTATATTAACCATTGATTTATGGGCCAGCAGGCGTGGCCGTGGTTTGATTTGTGCTAAAAGGAAGGATCTTGGCACGATTCCCACAGTGGGACCATCTGCGATCGTCTGTGTTCTGAGTGGGTAAACACATAATGGTGTAACGTTGAGAGGTGTTAAATGAGATCAAATTAATTTCTCAAAAGAGCAGAGCACTACTCGTTCAAATGGTAGCTGGAGAGATGCAGCAGTGAAAATAAAACTTCTAAAATGTTCAAATTAAATGCTGATGCTGCATTCAGTTGTAGCTATTGTATAAAGAGACACAAAGACGAGCTTCATTATCAGCCAGGTTCACAACAGAACAAAACTCTCACAACTTACTTTCTTTAATAGCCCAAAACAATACAATATAATCACCGGGAAGGGGAAATAATTGTGATGTGATCATGCAAATTATGTAATCTGATGTGCACTCTATCTGAACTGCAGTGGTTATAATGAAACCCGTTTCAGACCAAGTTAGTGCCCTTTGATAAAACGAAAACAGGCCTGCCTTCTTGCTCAACACACTGGCTTATAAAAAAGTGGGGTGAAACAGCAGGGAAAATACTGAACAGAGGGGTAAAAAGGTAAGGGGGAAATCATGTGAGGTTAGGTTGCATTTAACAAGGGATTAGAAAAAGGAGTGAAAGAGAGGTCTTGCCTTAGAGAAGAAATAAGAGGGCATCTGAGGGTCAGAGAGACACAACAGAGACGGTTGGAAAAAGGTTGAAAAGGAAGCCAGAGTTTCAAAACAAGGCACACGTTAGTAGGAGAAAAGTAGCAGAGATGGGAGGAAAGGATCAGTTTCTGTAAAGAATTTTGGACATAATTGGTTAGCACTTAATCATGACTCACACCTCAGGCCATTCTTGTTCATTTCGTTCTTACGTGACATCCTCATTACACTGGATTTTCACTCAAGCGCACATTCAGTTAACAGCAAAATGCCTCAAAACCAAATGACTTTCTAATTCATTACCGAGCCCAGTTTAGCTGTGCCTGTAATCCCTTTTGGCCTTGCTCACCAATAAACTCTGTTCTACTGTGGCAGGCTCACCCTGCCTTTAGTTTATTCTTCAGTAGAGCTTTTATTCTTTCTGAAAGGGATAGTTCAGCTCTTTGAATTGGGGTTCTGTGGAAAGGTTACAAACAGGCAATATCTTACCTGCTGTAGATAGCACTTTTAATGACGTCAATTAGGAAAGATTTTGTTTAATTATCACTCAGCTCTAAGAAATGTAAGCAATAACATAATGATGTGTGTAGTAGTAGTAGTAGTAGTAGTAGTAGTAATCATAATTATTTACAACTAATTAAGTTTAGGAGTCAAGTCTGATTCAAGATGGCTGCTATCACATTAACAAAAACTACAGAATTGTATGTAAATACTGTAGTTGTGGAATGCAAAACTGACAATTACGTGACAATTTAAAAAACAGAATTGTTTAAAAGGACCACTGCACTTTTATTTTTAGATTGAAGATGGCAGCAATTCTCTTGGGCTAATGCTTCACTTGGACAAGCTATTAGCTATCAGTCAGGTTAAAATTAAACTTTGTCTTCAAATAAAGGTTGCTCCAAAACCTAAAATCTACAACAAACATGATAATAATTGTTTATAACCTTTCCACAGAATCTAATTTTAAAGGATTTGAACTAAACTTTTAGCAGTTGATTTCATTAACCTGTTACTAACATTTGAAATCTTTAAAAAAATAAAAATAAAAATCTAAAAGCACATTTGTGTACTTTTTTGTATAACAGATTATTTTTCATAGCCAACAAATATACCCTACAGTATATAATTTATCAAAGTATTTCTTTGTTAAACCATGTGCTAATCATTTCTTTTGTCCTTTAAAAGATCTGGATTTTTGCCTTGTTCTTATCTATTTTATTTTAGTCCTTTGATTTTTCTATCACAGTTATAGTTAACTTATTTTATTCTAACCATATCTATCATGGGTTTATACTCCAGTATTAACCCATCCCACCATCTTACCCGTGACTTCTCCTCCAGCTTGGTCATCATGACAATGTTGGCTGTGTGCTGCTCCCAGACCATCCTCCAGAAATCTCCAAAAGTCTCAGGGAGGGGTCCCTGAGTGGCTATGTAGGCATTCTGCCGGCGGTAGCCATCAATATAGTTTGCGTTAATGTAGTCACTGCCGGGGACGCCTGCATGAGGCAAGGAAAAAGTGGAGCGCATGAAGGATGAAGACATACACAGAGAAAGAATTGCAGCAAATAAAACAGGTAACGAGTTAGATAAAATAATCCAAAAGGTTCTAATATGCTGCAGATGATTGCAATAAATGAAAACAATTTTCATCCCTGTGAACATCCTTTTTCATTCTGTTGTACAGTAACAAAAAAAAGAAGGAAATGGATTATTCAAATTCTACTGCTTTGACTGAAGGTTTATGTCAAAGTAATAAAGGCTAAGAATCATCCAAGGTCACAGTACAGAGATTAATGTTTTCACAGTGTCCTCTGGCGTTGGATTGCTTGGCCGTCTTGTTTTATAATACATGCTAAGACGATCACGGGCCTAATCTGAGTCTACTCTGGATGTGCCACTCACAATGGCAACACGACTGTGAGGCCGTCTCTGGGTAAGACTCGGCTGACACCGCCTGTCCTGGAGGGGATTGTGTGTGAGAATGTGATGTGGGAGACCGTCTGTGTGAGTTTGATTTAGGATCAGGCCTGCTCATCTAGGGCCTAATACCATAATCCTAAAAATCACCGAGTCACAGCTCCAACATGCACACACAGACACCAGAAAAAAAAAAGTGCAAGCAAAGATGTGTGCACGGAGGAGCACTGAGCCGTGACCCCATTCTGCTGAGGTGGGACACAGAACTCCTTTTGAGTCTTCTGATAAGAACTTGAGAGAAGTCAGTGGGCAAACAGAAGAATCCCCACAGATAGAAAGTATGGCAGCTGATTCTCTAGAGGAAGGCCTTTTTCATGAGCAAGACTCAGACTCGTGCAGCTGTAAAACCACAGTCCAACATTCACCACACACACACACAAACAGATACACACCATCCCTTTTAAATGAAGAAGTGTGATTTTTTTTTTACCCAAGTTAGCTCCAATGGGATGGGGACAGACAGTAACACAAGCTTCAAACATGTGTTTATCAACCGCAGTCTTTAAAAGGCAGCTCGTCTCAAAGCTTTGATGTGCTTCAACTTTATTGCAAAGGGCTGCAACAGAAGCGCCACACAGATAAAACAAACACACGCGCACAATTCCAGTTTTGGTGGTGGCTGCGCTGGCTTGGCAGTGTGCGTGTCTTCATGGATGTGTGAAGGAAACTGGGAGCAGAAAGTGCATATCTGTGCTTGTGCATATGCTATTTGAATTTATAGCACAGCGTCTGTGTGTTCATGCGCCGAAATGTGTGGTATTGTGCGTTTGGATGCGATCACAAGTGTATTTTTTCTGAGCTGATGGACAGACAGACGGACAGACAGGGCTACAGGACAGGCGGGGGTGGAAGGGCTTCTCACACATGCTCGGCCCAGATAAGGCTCATCTGTTCGGGCTTGGCCTCCCACTGCCTCTCTCTCTGCACATCGGAGCAGCCGGTTTCTTCGCCTCAGGTCCCTGCCAGCTGAAGTTGGTGAGTACACTTCGAAATGCACGATGAGAACAGAACTGAGGCTATTTCCTTCTTTTTGTTTTAGATCGTTCAAAAGGACCTAATGCAGTGACATCGACTCACCAAAGAACTGTCAAAATAACAAATAAGTTAATGGCTTAGAAGTCCTTAGAGGAATGCAAATGAACCACTGCCTTTCATTCAGGAGTAATGTATTAGAATTAATCTTGTGTAAAAACTGCAGTGGGAAGTTCTGAGGAAACACCTTACAGGCCCTTCCCCCTTGCTCTCTACAGCCCTCCCTCCACAGCTCCTCCCCCACATGGAGCCCGCCTTGAACGCGAAGCATAGTGAGCAGAACCGAGCAGTGATGGCGGAAAAACAGCATGACACATTCAGAACTCGCAGAAAATGTAAAGTTAGGTTGTTTCAACAGCACAGCAATCTTGAGCTTGAATGAGTGCGGAAGAAGGGCGAGGTCAGTGCGTGATTGGCATTCCTGCCTCTGATTGGCTGATTATGAGGAGCCGTCTATTTCTGCAAATGGCAGTAGGATCACTGGGAGGAGCCGGAGGAGCTTGATTTTTTATCACATATTGTCCATCTCATATTCTACTGTCAGGACATAGTGACAGTTAAAATTTATAAAAGTTAACTTTTTTAGCTTTAAGGTATGAGTCTTGGCTGATTTAGTCTAATCTTGACAATAAGGTTCACAGACTTACATTCTAATGCAACATTACGAGATGTCACTCCTTAACTATGCATTGACAATGACTCTCAGATAATAGCACTCCAAATTTCAGTAAAGCGACTGTAAAATTGACTGACATATAGCCGTATTTGTGTGAGTGTTAATTGTGAGCAATGCACAAAAGAGTAAAGTAAATGGGGTAGTAGCACATGCTTGAGCTTGTTAGTGGTTGTGATTTTTGATCTGGGTGGCTGTTGGTACATTTTGTCCATGTAACAAGACCAGGGGTCAGATTTATAAAGCTTGCATACACACAAAACAAGCCCAGAAACATGCGTACACCACTTTTCATGCAAATGTTGTGATTTATGAAATCCAAACTTGTCATGAAAATGTGCGGTCCCTCAGCCAGCTCTGACCGATGCATATGCTTATTTTGGAGACGGGAAGCTGCGACACAGATGGCGAAGTGAGGAATTATAGCCACACAAATGATCACTGTCAGATATTTAATTTCACTTCATAATCAAACTTATATTTTTATTCAACTTTATCATCAGCTTTCTTGTGAGAAATAAGGACCTTTGAAATAAAAAAACTTAAATCTTAAATAAAAGTTCACACATCTCCATTCATCTCCTTCCTCCTCAGACGACCCTGACCCACAGACCCCTCCCCGACAAGAGACATTTCAACAGCACGACAGCAAAAATCACGCTTTGGGTACACATGCAGGGCGCACCCCTCACCAGTGTGGATGTTATAAAAAGTTCACTTTTAAAGTCTGTATTTCTCTCATGCGCATGCAGGGCTGTGGGATGTGAGGAGGTGAGGAGATGGTCAGCAGCAGATAACAGAGCAGGCAGGAGGGGGAGGATGGGGGAGAAGAGCGGTGAACTTATTTCTAACTTTATCTGACTTATTTAATTTTATTTATTGTTTTTATCGTCCTCCAGGCTCTGAGAGAAAATAAATTTGAAGCTGAGTTTTTGAAAAATATCATTAGATTACTCTAAATGTCTGTAAATCTGCAAAATGAGGGAAAATCTGTGTCAGTTACAGACATTCTGTTCACGTGAGCAGCTGTCAGCACCTGTCATCCTCCAAACGCACAACAGAGCGTGTCTGAACCAATCACTTTTGTTGACATTGATCAGCTGACTGATTTAAATACATCTTAACATTCATGAGGTACTTTACATTGACTGTTTATGGTTGAATGTGGGCGTGTAGAGGGTAGAACCTGAGGTGGGACCTTATGCGTAAACTCTGAGGTGCGGCTGTGATTTATAAATGAAAGGTGCGCAGAAACATGTGTACGCATGGTTTTATAAATCTGAATTTTTTTTGGCGTACGCCATTTCCGCCTTTTGGCCGTACGTTCATTTTTAGTATGGTTTCCACGCAATCCTTTATAAATTTGACCCCATAACTCTCTACTTTTTCTATATGAATAAAAACAAACAAACAAAAAAACTACTCTCTCATCCACCCCTCTTGCTCGGGTGGGTGGTTTTCCATCTCCAGCTTGGGTCCTCTAGGCCTGGGAGCTTGAGGGTTCTTCGCAGTATCTTAGCTCTTCCTAAGACTGCACTCTTCTGGACTGAGATGTCTGAAGTGTTTCTCCAGGTATTTGTTGGAGCAACCTCTCCAGTGTGGGGGTCATTGCCCCCAGTGCTCCGATGACCACGGGCACTACAGTTGCCTTCACCTGCCGGCTCTTTCTAGTTCTTCTCTGAGCCCTTGGTATTTCTCCAGTTTCTTGTGTTCCTTTTTCCTGATGTTTCCATCATTAGGAATGGCCACATCGATCACAATGGCTGTCCTCTGCAGCTTATCAACGATCACAATATCTGGTTGGTTGGCCATTCCCATTTTGTCTGTTTTTATTTGGAAGTCCCACAAGATCTTGCATACACACACATATATATGCATACTGTATGTACGTAAGTATAGTATAGTATAGTATAGTATAGTATAGTATAGTATTTCATAGTGTCTCATAGTATNAGTAGGAGCAAATCTAAGAAATTTTCAGCACTTAAGTCTAAAAATCCACTCTAAGAAGTTTGATAAATACGGGCCCTGATCAGAGTAAATAAACTTTTCATACACTGATTCAGGTCTCCCGGTTAGTATAACTTTGTTTATAAATGTAAGTAAATTATACTGCACCCTAACCTTCAATAATGGCCTATTATTAACCCCTGAAAGAGTTAACCCCTTATCTCCCAGTGATGGGAATAAAGGAGTCAGCAGACTGACTCCTAACTAGCTGAAATATTGTGTTTGCCCCCACAATTTGTCATCAATAATTTYGCATTCAGTCAATAAGTTAGATTTTGATTTTCATTGACATCTTGGTGTCCAGTTATTCATTTGTCACATCTTGATAAATTATTAATGAATGAACATTCAACTTTTGATAAGGAGTTGCTGAAACTGGAAATTTTTCTTTAAGACATTAAAAAATATGTTTAATCATTGCAACTAATGAAAACTAATATTGAAATGAGCAGATTATGTGTAAGTGAACTCTTTTTGTTCTCTTTTTCATCTTGCTGCATGGTTGAGCAGTTAGTCTGCATCACTTCTGCGTGTTATTCTCATACATTTTGTGTGGTTATTTTGTTTTCCTCACTCAGTCAAAAACTGTGCATGTTAGACTAATTGGTGGTTCTATGGTCCCAGGTCTTAGTGAAGGCAATTCTGGCTCTTTTCTGAAATCTGTAATGGACTTCTGACCTCTCACCCATTGACCACTGGAGAGAGGAAGCAGCCCCCCATCCAGCACCCAAACAGGATGAAACAAGTAAAGAAAACAGATGAAAATTTTAGTCTGTAAAAGCAAGCTGCACCATAAATGATCCGAATAGAATTTCTTGCCGGTTTTGTGCACAACCTTCCAAAAACACCACTCTGACTCACTGTCAACTCATAACTTTACCCTCTGTTTTATCCTTCCCGATTCAAACCATCGTGTCTCGGAGCTGCTGTGTGTGGGCTGCAGATTTAGGACTTAATAGCAGACTGGAATAAGTGAAGCAACATAATTTGCTTTAAGGCTTTAAGAAAACAAAGTTGTGCTCGTTGTGTTTGCTAAGCAAAGCTTTGCAAAGCATTCACAGAGCAGCTTCGGATTCACAGCAGTGTTTACTGATCGGTGCTTTTAATGCTGAAAAAAAAACAGAGACAGCAGCAGAGTAAATCAAATAATTACTGTTATTTCCATTAASTACGTGTCTAAAAGCCACAAATAAAACTTTAATGTCTTGTTAATAAGCTCAATGGAAGTCTGAGGGGAGAAAAGTGTTTGACAGTTTAGAGAGGATAGCAGTTAAAAGTATGTTAAACCTGACTGATGGGTTAAAGCACCTTCTAATGTTGCTGTGAGTAAAAAAACATGTTTGATTCTGGTTCATTCTTTTAAAGGTTTTGATGGGTAACTGAACTGACGGAAGGGGCCACAGCCTGTTGTTGACACTACCAGAAGGAGTGGTTATGGTTCTGCTTGCTGTTGTTTCTGTACTTGCAACTTCAGTATACTCCTCATATTTAGCTTTGTGCAACGTGTGCTAGTGGCGACTTATATTAAAATATTGCATGGTATATCTCCTAGATTGTAAGAGCTGCTTTGAGTGTTTTCTTTTCAAGTACAATATATATATATATATATACACACACACAGTTCATATTTTAGACATAGGGATGATGTAGGAAGACATTTAACGGGGTTCAAATGGGATGTTGAAGCGAGAACGGTGTGAGATTAATGGGAATTTCATCAGGATAGTTTATTTTCCTCCAAATGGTAAATGGCTAGAACTTACATAGTGCCTTATCAAGTCCCTACGGACTCCAAAGCACTTTATTATTATAACTGTTTAGTTTTGAATTCCAGTAAACCTAAAGAAATGATCTTTGATCCTAAGGGATTGAGAGCACATGATTATCATGTGACCTTTGATGGAAATATAATTGAACAAGTGCACTCTTTTAAATACCTTGGTATTATTATGTGCAATACTCTGTGCTGGAATGAACATGTTGACTAGCTGTGCTCCAAACTAGCCCAGAGACTGCATTTTCTGCGAAGACTTACAGTAGGCTGTTTGGTGTCCAATCTAAGATCATGCAGACCTTCCATAATGCTGTTCTTGGCAGTGTAATTAGATATGGCATGGGTGCTTGGTTCAGCTCACTTACTGTGAAGTCCAAGTCAAGACTCATTAATATAATGAAAACCTCAATGAAAATAATTGGGTCAAATTTTCAACCTTTGCCATTGCAATCATTGCAGTCTAATCTCGTATGTTGTTTATAATATTGCTTTTTAACAAATTTTAATCGTTTTTATTGCTGGTTTGTATAACAATGAAGTTGAGCTGTGTCCGGATGTGCAATATGTTTATCTTTGTGCAAACTAATTGTTGGTAGTTTCAGATGTCATGTTTTAGTTCAGATGTTTTGTTTGTTGAGAACTGTACTGTGACATTTTTTTTGTTCTAGGTGTGTTTGTGTGTCTTGCGGTCGCTGCGCCTCCACCTGCAACAAATTCTCCTTAGGGGACAATAAAGTATATCTTATCTTATCTTATCTTATCTTATCTTATCTTATCTTATCTTATCTTATCTTATCTTATCTTATCTTTTCTTTACACTAAAAGTCATTTGTCCATTCATACACACATTCAAACACTGATGATGGTAAGCTACAAACTATAAATAAATGTTTTGAGCACCATTATATTTGATAATTCATTTCCTTTTCACACCTATTTTAAGTCAATCAGTTTCATAATTAAAAGGCTGTAATGTGTGTCTGCATTTACAGTCTTTATTATCATCAGTATCAGATTTCTTATTACTAAACTTGACTTGGTACAGACAACTACTCCCCAAGAAACCCAAAAAAAAAAAAAAAAAAAAAAAAAAAAAAACAAAAAAAAAAAAAACGTAGTCCCTGTTTTTTCTACACTAGTGTTTCTAATGTTTTTACCCCTAAGTTCTACACCTCAACTCCCAGTTCCTGTAACAACATAACTAATCAAATTTCTTCTTCTAAACACAACTAATTAAAAAAAAGAACCAACCATTAAATACCAAAATAATTTAAATGTGTCTTACCATCAACGCTCGAAAGTATAACCCTTGAGTGATCATAGGCGATAACATTAGCATAGCGATTCTTTGGTTTGTTGACCTCCAAGTTGGAGTTTTCCCATGTGAACTGCTGAGCCGGGTCAATGGACTACAAGAGATAAAGATGACAAAGCAAACAACAAAGTTATAAAATATTTTGGTATTACTAAAGTTTGTGGGTTTCAAATAAAAACTCCAGCACAGAATGAGTTTAAAATTCAAAAGTGGAATAAAAGCCACAACGTGTATGATGTAAAAAGGAAAACAGAAACACTTTGATAGCCAAAAAGGCTGATTCAGAACATAAGTATCAGTGGATTGGAATTCATAGGTAAGTAGTGTTGTATTTGTTAAGCTGTATTTAACCTGGCAAACCTCACTGAGATCACAGATTTCTTTTTCAGCGAAGGTCTGGGCTTGAAGGCAGTTTAAACATATTTCTATAGGAGGAAACTGGAGTACCCAGAGGAACCCATGCAAATTCGATGAGAACATGCAAATATTGTAGAACGGTTGGGTGTCACCATAGTCAAGGGCAGGACTGAGTACACGTCCTTGAGGAACCCCTGCATACAATGTGACTTCTCATTACCATCACAAACTGACAAAACTCTACAAGACCTCTCTTGAAGTTACCAGCTGGCTCAAAAATTTACCATCAAACTGCAGGAACCGGTGCTTAGAAGATGTTTATAATTTCCACATGCAGATACAGTCCAGGAATACTGAAGCTACAACCTGCCATTAAAAACTACTACAAATTAAAGATTAGCTATGCATTACTGATACCAGACAGGAACATGGGTACTTATGATATCCTATTTCAAGAAAGTCTTTCCACTTCCAACAGAGATACTATCTGCCAGAGAAAGATGATAAAAGCACAATAAATTTCCACTGGTAGAAGGAGGATGGTTGTGTCAGACCATTAAGCTCCTGGAGGGTAATTACAGTGTAACCATTGCTGTTAGCCGGGAGAGGCAGACATGAGGTCATTACAGGGCTGTCAATGGAGAAGCACAAAGAGGGGAGAGCCAGAGCAATTTAGCAATTTTGAATATTTTACGACACATAATTATGGTTTTGTGGGGAAAAATGGACAGGAGTGGTGCTGGATAAGTGCACGTATGTGTATGGGTAAGTTTAAGACTGCTTTCTCCACGCTGCCAGCATCAAGTGTGTCTGATTATCACACCACAATCATTCCTGGCCTCGCTTCCATCCGTCGCTCTCTCGTTCCTTCGTTGAGGGTTCAACACCGAACAAAGCACACAGTCATGCAGAGGGAATGTGAGGCCCAACGGAACGGTTCCAACGATAACCACAATCACACTCAGCTTCTCTCCCTCACCGTCTCATTTTTTTCTCCCAACACTTCTCTCCTGGAGAACACTCTCATTCTGTTTTTCCACTTTTTTTAATCCGTCCTTGTATTACTTTATACATCTGTCACACACAATCTGTCTCTTTCTTGCAGTAGCCAATTAGAGCCGTATGTCTCCATCTTCACCCAGAGGCCCTTCGGCCGTCAAAGATTTTTTTTTCTTTTGTAAGCAAAAAGTAAATAAATAACAAAAAAACATTTTTCTACTCCTTTAACAAATCTCTGCAGAGCTCATTGTAATACCGGCTCTGGTTACTAAAACAGCGGGCATGTTTTTAAAACATTTCTGCTGATCTGCGTGCACACTGAGTTCAGACACACAGTTGATGCTATTGTTGCTCCATATTAACTGCGCTGCAAGTAGAAGGAAACTAATCAAGATTTTCTTCTGTGTGCAGAGAACACTTGTTCCCTGAATCACTCGGTTTGCTCTTTGTGGGTGCTTCTTGATTTCTATTTTCTCTGTGTCCACCAGAGCGTAGAAGCGAGAGCTTGATAACCATCTGGCTGTAAGCAAACTGTCTTTGAGCTTGCAATTTGAATTTTCCTCTCATATTTGTGGAGATAACAGCACGATGGCAAAAGCGATGGAAACGCAGTTCATCTCTCGGGAAGTCGACAAATCAAAATGTGATGTCAATGCAGAGGCCACAGAAATTGAAAAATGACACGTCGCTGATAAACAAGAGCGCCTCGGAACAAAACCAGACGAATTTCCCCAAGTTGGAGATTTTCAGTGGCAGATAATCAGCATTCCTACCTCATATTCTTGAGAGAACTTGAGATTGTCATTTGCCTTGAGGCGCTCAGCGTGATCTGCCAGCTCAGAGATGGGGACGGGTGGGTGACTCGCCATGCCTGCAGAGCACAGGAAAAAAAAAAGTCAGTTTTGATACCAATACTGTACTGCTGAACTCTTTTTGAAAGAAAATGTTAAAAGCTGGAATCCTCTAAGGAGGTGTTGTTTAGTGTTCAGCCCATGGTCAGCACAAGAGGCAAATGGAAGTGGGATCTTTTTTTTTTTCTTCATTATTTAATTATTTTTGTTAAGTGACGTTTTCTCTCCAGACAGACTGGAGAGAACAATGTGCGAGTTCAAAAAGCTGCCAAGACACAAAAACATGTCCTCGGAGTATATGAACACTGCTGGTGAGGATAAAAAAAGACAACAGCACAGGCAGTTATAAATTAAGTATGACTTTTTTCTTGCGATTTTAAAGTAAGTGGCGCTTGGTGAAATGTTGTCAACTGATGCAGCTTCATCCTATATGGGGTGGAGGGTTAGTCAGAATGAAAATGGAAGGATAGAAAGGAAGAAAGAAGGAAATCTGTGGTTGACTAAGACCAACTAACTTGACAAACGGCGGTAACCGCGGTACACTGAAACACGGTAGGCTGTAAGGGGAAACAACACAGTGAACCTCATCAGCATGACTGATTCTGACTACACGCTGCTGCGTTGGCTGGACGGGTTTTGTTTCAAATCTACCTGGAGTCTGGAAGTTGATCCTCCGCAGCTCCACAGGATCTGTGGGATGGTGGGAGGACATGGCTTTGCTGCAGGGAAAACTGCCCTTCCTTCCCTCAGCTTCGGCTCGTTTCCTAGAATAACAGTCACAATTTACCTCAATGTGATGTACTTGATATCACTCTGCATGAAATTTAGACCAGTGAAGGTTTGGGCTCATATACACTTTGGCCTAACCTCTATAAATGCAAATCTTCAGTACAAATACTGATACACCCCTGATTTTTTTTTATATTCAGATATGTCACGGGCAATAGTCTGGAAATGCTAATTTTCTAGCAAATCCAGAGCAGCTTCCATTACTCTTAATTTTAAATGGTCAAACATTGCTTTCTAGCTTACTCAAATGCAATAAAAGAAACGAAACCTGTTGAACTGAGCGATTCTTTTAGCGCAACTAACTTTAAAACATGGTTTATCTGAGCAGCAATAGCCTAATTCTGGCCCTAAATCAATCGATTTTGTAAAGCAATCCTTGAAGAGGCTTTTCAAGAAAAATGTTCCTGTGGGCCAGTAGAAATGGTAATAAGGAGCTTGTGTTTACCTGTCAGGTTTGCTGGATCCACACGGAGAGATGAACAGATAAAAGAACAGACAAGGAAGAAGAACATTAGTGTCCAATCAAAGGGCATCAGAGACAAAAGGAGAGCTGAACTCATCTTTTTCTCTTTGTTCAGACTAACTAGGTTTCTATGTGAGTGTGTTCAATACACGACATAAAACCTCCTTTGGACACAAAGGTGAACAGCAGACTTAAATACAAATAAAAGAAACACTTTTTTTTCTTGCTCCCTTACTCGATCACCCAATAACATGCTGGGATCATGACTCCAGGTGAGACATAAAAGGCTGATGAATACTATTAGTAGCACTCCACGATCATAAGCATCAGATTATCACCATCAAGTTTTATAAATCTGCTACGCCACATCTGTCACAGCTGGTTTTTATGTATATTAATAAAGCTGTAGCCAGAGAACAGATGATTATCATGAATAATGCTAATGACCAGTAATGCTGCTATCTCACTCTGTCTTTTATGGTGCTCACTTTGTATGGGCAATAATGCAGATTACAAAAAAAAAAAAAAAACTCGAAAAATTTGCATGTGCTGTGAAAACGTGAACGCAAATTGATTGCAGAAACTTTATCTCAAAGCTGATAGGGAATTATTACATTTAAACCAAGCAAAACAGAAGCTACAATGAGCAAAACTAACTAATTAAGTAAATCAAACAGTAGCTAAAAGTAGCAAAACAATAGATAATAGCCAAAATGACCAAAGCAGTAATTAAAAGCTAAAATGAGCTAAACTGTTGCTCTTTTTTTACCTCTACCATCCTGTTTTTTACCTTTTAAATAGAAGAATAGCGATGACGATGCAGACGATAAAAATCACAGCCAACACAGGACCCACCACCCACAGCAGCCCCTCCTCCTCATCGATAATGGGCTGAGGATCCACGTCCGATGACGTCACCGGGTCAGAATAAGGGCTTGTTGAAAACATTGTCTGTAAGAAACCATAGATTTTAGGGGTTTTGCTGTGTAAACATATTAGACAGGTAAAACAGTTGTTGGGTGTCCGGGCTCACGTTTTCTGAGAGGTCAAGCAGTGCAAGCGCAAAGAAGACGTACTCCTGTCCACCCGTTAGAGGACGGTTACGGAAGTCGCCGTAGTTTCGTCCATCACCTAACGTAAACTCCAGTGGGAGGGTCTTGAAGTGCGCTGTGACATAGGCCCTGGGATCTGATTGGCCAGCCTGTCTTCGGATACGAAGTGCCCGGCTGACGCTGGTCCTGTTGATCTCTTTAAGAAGCTGGAACAGAAAAAATAAAGTATTTGATGATTACTGGGTAATATGAAGAGAGGAAACAGACTGGAAAAAGTATCAAATCACACGGACAGAATTGATAGCTTGGTTTTATTTTCATTTGAAATAGAGCATATTTAAACAAAGTGCATCATCAGTGAAACTCAGGAAGGGAATTTCTCTGAAATGTAATCGTAAAATCACAGTTTGAAGTATTGACAATTTAACCTGCACAAAACCCGCTCATCACCGGGGGAACAAAGGGCTCCGCAGAGAATTTACAAAAGCACATTTGTCTTCATCAACTGAGTTGCTGCAGCATTTATCCATTTATTCAGTGCGCACCATAAAAAGGTCTATTTAACCAATCTCTCACACGAATGTGCTTTCAGAACAGGATAATGAGGTAATTATGTTTTTAGGAAAAAGGCAGGAAGTGGAATTAGATGGGAAATGGCATGTGAAAATATTGTTTGAATTAAGCCAGCAGTTGATGGCCTGGTTGTCCATCTTAACATGCATAATAAGATGAAAGATACACACTGCAGCAGAAAAAAAAAAACTTTGACTAAGACTATGTGCACGTTTAACCAAAAATAAATGGTTTGCAGACTTTTTAATGTTTCCTTCTAGCTTTCACTCTCAGAAAGTAATCATTGGATGTACATCTACAGCTGATTAACTTCTGGAGCCAACGCATTTCAAGATAGCCACATCTACCGACAGATTTTAGAAAGCACACAAATGGTACTAAATCAGTCAATTTTACAGATACTGAGATAAAATTTGGTGTGGTGGTAGCCCAGAGTCACCCACAACTTAAACTGTTCTCACCTCATCCATGTTCATTTGATCCGGCTCACTCCACGGATTCAGAAACTTCCCTCCTCGCTGCTTCTTCAGCGGCACCACCACCACGTAGTAACCCCTAAAACACACACATGATGAACTGAGATCAAGCCTACACATGCTTAAAAACTCATCCATCTCTGAGAAACCCACCACACCATGAAAATTAAAACAACACAGGTTTGAGGTATCGAAGGATATTGATAACTATCTTATGTCTGTGTGGTAAACATGCAGGCATCAGAATGGCTTGGACATTAAAATAATAAAACACAACACAAAAAAACTAAAATAATTTTGAAAAAATTTGCACATTGTTTTTTATCTCTTTGTCAATAAACCTTTCACTCAAACACTTCAATATATTATTCAGTAAAAATGATAGAAGTCATGAGCAGTAGGTCTGTTTTGTCATCTGTTTTGTTTTAGTTTACCATTCACCACCAAAAGGATGAAAGGTGGGTCATAATGTTTATGTCTGTGTGTAAAGTAGTAGTAGCTGAGTCATTTTGAACACACTCTGAATGTGACATCTTGTGATATTGCATGAGATTAACTTTTTTATATTTGGTTACAACTCTGTCCTTTTAACAACAAAATATTATCTTAGTCTAAAACCTCTGAGAGCTAACTGCTTTCCAACAGCTTCCTAATAAAACAAGGCTGAGACAGATCTTCCCATCTAACTATTAGTAAAAAAATATATATATATATTTCTTCTGTTCTGTCACTAATATGCTACTTTACTACAGCAGCTGCTGTGAAACAGCACCAGTAATCCAAACAGTGTGGCTTCTACAGAGAGACATCTGCCTGTGTTTGATACTTTCTGATGCAGACAGTCCAAGAACAACATTATCACTGGAATAGGTTTTTGCTGATGAGCAACACACAATTCATTAAGGCACAGACAGTGAATTCCTCCAGGAGTTAAAATGATGTAGAAAGCAAAATCAGAAACAACTAATCAAACGTAAAGTTCAGATGTCTAAGATACTTCAAAGGAAGAATGACGTTTGGCTGAAAATAAAAAGGAACCAGGCCTCAGCTTTGTAGGCATCCCTCCACTTGCTTTGCAGCTGCCTTTGACAAAACCCTCTTGATAAATGAAAACAACAGCTGATAAAATCCAACAAATGCCCTCTCAGAGTCTGTAAAACAAACTGAATTGTTTTTTATTCCCCTCGTCTCCAACTCCTTACTAACCTGACTTTTGCTGTCGTCTGCACAGTCGGTAGCTGCACAGTCACCATGCCGTCTGCGATGGTCTTCCCCACAACAACGGGTTTGGTTTTCAGGATGTCCGGGGCCGTCACGGCAGTGACGCGGTGCTGCAGGCCGCCGGCGCTGTTGGCCCGGTTAGTGAGCAGGAAAGAGTACTGGGTGTCCGGATCCAAGCCAGTTATGAGCTTCTGAGTCTGTTTGCCATCTACCTCCACAGACTGGCCCTTCCCATACAGGATCTGTGAAAATAAAACACAAGGATTTGGGGTTTCAATAGGTAGCCATCTAGGGTCGGACTAATTTTTATAAGTAATAAACACAATACATTTCAGATATATAGGTAAAATTTCTTTCAGGTTTTTTGCATTAAAATGACTCACAGTGAATGGCTGGGATGGGTTCTTGTCTCGAATCTCCCAAGAAAGCAGAACTGAGTTCTTCATGGCTGCTTTTACTCTGAAGTTGGTGGCAAAAACTGCAGCACAGAAAAAATAAAAACAGAAAAAAAGATAATTTCTTTTATTATTTCCAGAGGCTCAGTTGTTTTCTGCAGAATAAAACAGAATAGTCTTACCTGTGTTTCATTCTCTAGAACCAGACTCAACTTAGCTTTTGATCTGATTAGCAGACAGTTTGAACTGACAGGGATACTTGCCCAGACCCATGACTCTTACCTTGCTTTTTAGAATAGACTGGGTCTGAGGCTACAGTGACAAGACAATGGAAAAGGACACTTAGGATGCAGTTACTAGATGTTGTGCGTCTGTGGCCACTTGTACAATACATGATCAAATGTTTCTGTAAGAAAGAAGGCCTAGCATCCAGAGTAATGATGATGGGTTGTTAAAAATGTGAGAGTGATCCTACCTTGGTCTAGCCGCTGCGTCCTAAACTGGACAGCGGGGCTGTACGGCCCAGGACCAACAGCTGTGAACGCACACACCCTGACATCATACACAGTATCGGCACTCAGACCCTCCAGCAAAACACTGGACCCTGGCGTGGGCACCACAACCTCTGAGGCATTTCCTCGACTGTTTACATCCTTATACAGCACAGAGTACTTTGCAATTTTCCCATTCTGCTCAATCAGTGGGACAGATTTCCATGCCAGTTGAAGAGAAGTGTCAGTCGCCTCTTCTAAGATAATATTTTCCGGGTATCCGTTCGGGGCATCTTCTGGAGTGGTCACCTCCTTTACAGACTCTTCTCCGTAGCCCATTTTGTTACGAGCAGACAGCCTGAACACATAGTTAGCTCCCTTATGGATGTCCTGGGCAGTGTAGCGAGTCTCTTTGGTGGGGAACTCGATGACAGTAAAGGGGAGAACGTCAACACGGCCGAAGGTGAGGCGGTACCCCAGGAGAGGGGTGGGCGGGTCGGGAGCGGGGTACCACTGTAGTAGAGCGGTACCCGAATCAGTGTCACTGACCAACAGTTTTGGTTTCTCAGGCACTGTTAGGAGGGAAACGGTGAGAGAAGGAATAAGAGAAGGGTGAAAAGAAAATTAGAAGGTTTGTACTTACAAATGACAACAATCATAATCTCAAATGAATATATTAACGTGGCGCTAAATGACTGGCCTCTCGCTGGCACTGCAAGGTGTGACAGAGCAACATTGACTTATTCAGTCATTTAATGTACTCTAATTATTATTAATGCTTTATGTCATTACTGATAGTTGCATTTCAGTTGTTTGTGCTTTTTTTCTTTCAGTTTGAGTGGACACACTTACGAGGCAGGGCGGTGCACACAGTAACAGCCTTGCTGCGAGCACCATCACCCTTGGCAGTGTAAGCGCCCACTGTCACAGAGTAGGCAGTGTCTGCCGTCAGGTCTCCAAGCACAGCCTCCTACAGAAAAACAAAAGAAAAAAATCTATCAGCCATCTTTGTGTATTCATAGAAAAGATATATGTATAATATGTATTCCTTTAAGGAATACATATTGCCCTCTACCTTGTATATCAAAATAAAACTCTGGCATATTCTGTTAGCACTTTGAGTATGTGTTGAGGATGACTCTAAGCTACAACCACTCCAAGTGAAAGCTCAGTATCTGTAAAACTGACTGCCTTATAGCATTGTTACATTTGTTAAGGTGGCAGTCATCTTGAACTGGATTGACTTCAAAAGTAATCAGCTATGACATTTCTGTCCAGTGGTTCATGAGATATTTTGCTAACACAGGCAAACAGATGCAGACACATAAATGAGTTAAGTTTTACAAATTGAATATGCTTTAAAGTAAACAAATACTATTTTTTTTTACAGTTTCACTAGTCCATCTTTGACAGATGTGGGACTATACTCCAATTGTATCAAAGCAATCTACAGCTAAAAAAAAAATAAAAAATGGCTTTCAGTGTTTTCAATGTTTTTTAACCTCCCTACGCACCTAAAACTCACAAAGACTTGTCTCCATCCAAATAATAAACCACTGTTTTGATAAAGTCTCAAAATGAGCCTGATAAATTGTGTTACTCGTCCAGTTTATGTCTTACAGTTTTTTTCCAAGATTAAGAACATAAAATACAAAATTAGAAAACTATGAAAAGATTGTGCTCTGGCTGAGATTTTGAAGCTACCATCTCATATGAGTCATTCTATTTTTCTTATTGAGTAATAAAATTGGCAAAAGATTTACTCACATATTCAGCTGAGTCACCGTATTCCCACTGGACAACGAAGCCGTACAGAAATGAAAAAAAAAAAAAAAAGACAAACACTAATTAGAAAAGTATATTTTGTATGCTATCAATAACATTCACTACTGGCCTGGAAATATTAGCTGAATATATCAACAATATAGGATATATGTGAGTATTTAAGCATGGTAGTGCATTTATGAACTAGTATTATTAATGATTATAGCGTGTGTTAAACTATTAGTCAGTCTTACCTGAGAGTCATCAATGAGGATGTCTTTGATGAGGGGTTGACCCTGAGGGTCGCCGTAGTTCATCCTCACATAATGGATTTGATAGCCTCGGACCTGACCGTGCTGCAGCTCGGGTGCCGGTGCTCGCCATTTCACCCTAACAGCCGAGGCATTCACTGTCTCTGCTTCAACCGATCGCGGAGGACCACTTGGAACTAAAAACGCATTTTGGATAAGAGGTCAGGAGTCACAGATGACGGGCATTCAAGCTCTCAAGTAAAAGCTTTTTCCTATAGTGAAATTATGTCCCATCAAAAATAGGTTATAAAAATACCCAGAAGCTGAAAAAGAGAAACGTACAGCCTCCAAAAAAGCCTTAAACTGTTCTGATGTCTGGGCAAAAGTCAAAACAGTTAAAAAAGTGAGTGCTTGAAGTAAAAAAAAACATGAAGGGGAAAAAAGCTGTGAAGTACAGGAGGCAAAGAGGTAATAATGGAAGACAGCAAAGGATTTCTTGCCAAAGGCAGATAAAAAGTGGCACTCAAAGAAAAAAATACTGTCATCAAGAAAGACATCAGCTGAAAACTTCACTTTACCTATAAAAAAACAAAAACAAAACTCAAGCCATCTTCTGCTTTCTGACTGACTCTTTCACAAGCCGTTGGAAGAAAGAAAGATTTAGAAAAAAATATCTTTATAAGGATACAAGCAAAAAAGAGCACTGGATAATTGGTTATTAATCAAAACAACATAAAAATACATGGACTGAAATGAAAAACAGTTTTTAAAATATATATAAAGGATTTGGAAGGGTTTGTAAAAAGTGGTCATATAGAAAAACACAGGTGAGGAAAAATATAGGTTGTCGTGCTGTTAGTAAGGATTGCTGTTATCTCTAAACTGGAAAATTTAAAGAATTTCTTGTCCAAAAAAATGGAGAAACAGGGAAAAAAAGTGCTAGTAAAATAGGAGGAAAACAGCTGCTGGAGAATAAAAGGGTTGTTGTCAACAGAAGACAGTGGTGAGGGAATACCACGAGAAGATTACACGTTTTTGGAGGGTTGTAGTGGTTTGGAAGGGAAAGAGGATTGGGTTTCAAAACCGGGAGATGCAAAAGTGATTCTCCAATGCATCATTTGTTTTATAATGTAGCTCGAGGGAAGAAAAGATGCCTTTAAAGGCCAGTGGAACAAGCTGGCTGTTAGTTTAGGATATTTTGAGCTCATTAATTCTGTTAGTGAGTTACAGGTTGCCATTGTTAGTTGAGTAGACCATTTTAAGAGAGACATAGCATCATTTTTGCAACGTACCATCTTCCTCGGTGCGGATAAGCAGTTGTAAACTTTCCGGTCCATCCCCAGCCTCTGTGCGTGCCCGAACTGTTATGCCATACTCAGTCCATTTTTCAAGGTTTGCCAGGAGATACGAAGAACTTCCCGGAGGAATTTCATCAATTCTTTTAGACGTTTTGTTGCCCTCCATGGTGGAGTACTGAATGGAGTATCCTGATATGACGCCGTTCTGAAACTCCAGGGGTGGTGGAGCCCAACTTACCAAGAGGCTGGTAGAACTGGGACTGGTGCATGTGATGTCCTGGGGAGGTGCTGAAGGAACTGATCGGCCAGTTTTGAGGAGGCACAGCAGGGTTTGGGTAAATGTTATTAGGTTGTGTGTGTTTGTGGTTTATTTGGATTCATGAAGGGGGTCAGGAAATCAGGTGTGCCAAGAAAGAATGGGGGGTGAAATGGAGCAGATGAGAAACAAGAGAACAAAAGACAAAGAAACATAAAATGAAAACAAAACACTGGAGAACAGAAACTCTTATGTGTGAAAAATGATCCTGTGACTGGAAACCAAGATTGTTGAACAAAGATACTGAATGATGGGTGTCACATCTGTTTGATATAAATGTTCTGAATAATGAAAACACGTGAATGACTTTAAAGAAACGCAACACAAAAACACTGAATAGTTTTGTACACAAAATTAACTTACTTGTCCTTACAGGCTACTGAAGCCTCTGTAATCCACGATGAACGTATTTTCCATCAAATGTCTGGGATCTTACCTTGGTTTGACTGAATCTCTGGCAGACCTCAAATTGGTCATCAACAAATAAGTTTCACTCTCTCTCGCTCTCTTAAAGGAGCCACACCACTATTTTTTGCTATTGCATTTTAGTGCAATGCAGCATATATAACATGCGAGCTGAGTCCTGATTGATTTATCATTCTTTTCAGATCAGGACCAGAGTCTGGACTTCATGAACTGCCCTGGAAACAAAGGGATTTTCAGGGGCACACCTCTAACAAAGGGGTGATTTTCCTTGTGATTATCCTTTACATTTACAGGAAAAGCCAAGATAGCATCACAGTATTCTGTTCCCATCACATCTTCCCACAAAACCCTTATAGTGTTTCATTTAGTTCCAAACTTTTACGTTATACCTGAATATATTATTTGTTGAAACATCAGTCTTGAGGTCTGCTAGGGTCTGTTATGCTGATGGTTCTTTTTTGACAATGCATAAGAAGCAGAATGAAACATTTATTTAATAAAGTTTGATCAATATGGGGTTTTAAAGTATAGTACCTGTTTGGTTTTTTGATCCTTGCATTGTCAAAACTGAAACCTTCCTTTTTCTCAAATCTCCACACACACACATGCTACTGCATACACACATTCACAGCCATCAGTGTGCCCGGGTACACCTACGTGTCTGTGGAGTGTCAATGGACACTTCATTGGTGTACGCCCCAATTCCATTTTTGCTCTTGGCAGCCAGTTGGAAAGTGTAAGTGGAGAAGGGCTTCAGGTTCTTCAGCAGGTAGGAGGTGGTCGGGTCAAAGTTCACTTTTCTCTGAACAGACACAAAGTCAGGAGGGATATCAGGATCATTTTAGCTTCTCTCTGCCCTCTCTTTGTTCCAGTGACACATCCACATTTTCATATATACAGTATCGTCATCCATCCAACCACTCATTAAGTATTGGTAAAATAAACGGTCTATTCTGCATGAAATCCCTCAGTTCCTTAATCCTTACCTCCTCTGTGTCGTCGACCTTTCGATAAACCAGCTCGTAGCCTGTGATCTGACTGTCTGGGCCTCCCTGGGTTGACGGGGCCACCCAGGACAACAGGATACTTGTCTCAGATTTTGCTTCACCCTTAAAGTCTAAGGGCTGGGAAGGAACTACAGAACAAAAAGGTCATCATCATTTAAAAACCAAACACTTTTTCAGAGATTGATAGATGGGCATAATTTCAGGAATAAATTTCTGTCTGATCCTTTCCTTGTTTTTGTATTTTACCTCCAGTCTTGGCTATAATCTGCAGATCCTGGGACAGGGGTCCATCTCCGACAGAGGTGAAGGCCAGCACACGGATGTAATAAGTCTTGTTAGGAGTTAGATCCTGGATGGTGATGAAGTTGGCACTACGGACCATCTGCTTCTCCCACTGAACAACACAGAACCATACATCAGTGCAAGTGGACTCATGTGTTTTGAACATAAATAGTAGTTATTAAATAAAAATAAAGGAAGTCATGCAGACAGAAACACACCTGGTTGACAGGCATGGTATTGTCAGAGGTGTAGTACACTCTGTACCCAACCACCTGACCGTTAGGCTCCTCTGGCTCATCCCAGTGTATCATAGCTGTTGTGGCACTCAACATCCGACCAATGACCTAAAGGATAAAACAAAAATGTCAAACCTCAACACAATAATTTGAGAACTAATAGACAACATTGTGCTCTGGTAAAGATAAAACCTGATCACCAGTTTTAGAACCAAATCCATTTCACTGGTTAAACATTGGCTTACAATCGGTTCGATTTAAGTATCACCCTGACCTGTCGAGGAGGTGAGGATGGGGCCTGCTCAGCTGTGCGAGCCTCCACCGCCTCGCTGGAGGGACCCTGGCCGATGGTGTTTACAGCTGCCACCCGAAAGTCATAGTGGGAGTACGGGCTGAGGCCGCCCACACTGTAGCGCGTCGTGGCAATGCCATCAATCTCTTTGTAAGAGTCCTCTGAGCCTTTGGGACGATGCTGAGGAAGGAAAAACACAAAGGAAAAGGTGAGGAGGTGCAAGAGTGAACCCAGAACACAATGCTTTTATTTGTTTTTTAGACCTAAAGGTATGTTGCTGCTATTTGTGCTAGCAAATAAGAAACTTTATAATAAATATAGTAACATTCACATAACAACTATGAATATTTTGAGTCTGGAAGTGTTTTAAGACAACAGTAACCCAGTTTGGACTGGGCCCACTCAGACTAGTCATTAGCTCTTCATTCGGGTCAGAACTAAATTCTATTTCAAACTCAAGTCACTCTAATAGCTATCTACAAAATATTAACCCATTCCACATAACCATACATCAACATATCTATCCATTTAAGCCAAAATAAGTGCCATGTTTTGCAACCATGTACATTTTAGTCGTGTCTTAGAATGTGGCTGCACAGTTAGTGAAAAATTGCTTCAGTGAAGGCTGCACACCTGTATGACATAATAAGAAACTGGTTCAGGGTTTCCAGAATCCCAAGTCAGTGTGATGCTTGTTGCAGTTCTCTCAGTCACCACAGGGATGCCAGGAGCCTTCGGCAAAGCTGAAGGGAAGAAAACTAAAATGAAATCTCCTCCATGGTCAACTTTTAAATTGAGGACTAAAGAAGCACATTTCAGAACTCGTCCTGATGTAAAAAAATTCCTTACAAAACTTGATTGTTTCCAGCAAAAACTGAAAACAAATAAAACTGTGATCGCTCAGAGTCATAGTGATAAAGCCATAATATCTCTACAATAATTAAACGTACTGCAAAATAATTATGGACAAAATTAGTCTGACCACAGGATTAAACTAACACAGCCAGTTTAGAAACTTATCTCTTGTCTCACTGACCATTTTGACCTTTTCCACAATTTGAACATCAATTAAATCCAAATTAAAATACCAACCAAAGCGATTTAGCGAGTTTAAATAGCAGTTGGAACAAAAATATATTAGGTCTTCTGTGTCACTCAAAATTATCAAGACAGCAGGCGATTTCCTAATGAAAGGATTATTCTTTCTATCTTTACTGCCTGCTGCTGAAAGGCGAAAACTGTTTGTTTGCTTGTATGTTAGCAAGATATCTCATGCACCACAGCATGAATTTTATTAAAACTTTCAGAAAGTAATTCATGGATGTACATCTACAACTGATTAACCACTGGAGTTAACCCATTTCAAAATGGCTGCTAAAGCTAATTGACCAACACAAAACAGCTAAAACTCAGTCAACTTTACAAATACAGTATTGTAGTTAAATTTGGCATTGTACTGAGCAATATGCATTTCTTTAAGGAATGCTTGACCTTTTATTTAAGTTAATAAAGCACATAACTTTTTCCCCCTACTTTTGAGTATTCATCACAGTATTGTGTTATTTCTAGTGCTCCACAAATCCGCTGTACATTTACAGAGAAACTATATGATTGTTCTGTGCTTTCAAAGACACAAAGCTTTCCTTAACAGTACTCAGTTTAAAAGTCATCAATAGTTCAGAGTCTATATATGGAACCCACCTTTCACTGAAATCTGCGCCACCGCCTCGATCACTCCAAGCGTCGACATGGCCACGCAGGTGTAATTGTTGGACTGGCGGACATCGGTCAGTTCCAGAACGTTGCGGCCGATGGGCATGTCGTCCTCGGGCGTCAGGTCTTCGGCTCCCAGCATCCACTTCACGTACGGCATGGGCGAGCCCACCGCCACACAGGTGATGTTGACATTACCCCCTGGCATGATTTCGCTGTCGGCTGGGGGGATGGAGAAGCGAGGGGGGACACGGCGCACTGGAACGGATCGCGGCGTGGGCGAGAGGAGAGACGTGATTAGAATTTTCGAACAATGTGCAGGAAGGTGGAGGACAAAGCAGTGAAATGATGTTTTACAGATTTCAATTATGACTGCAAAGTATATAAACTGCACACGATTGCTTGGGTGCATGAAACATCAAAATGATTTTTTAATGCCATTTTAAAGTATGCACCAGTAAATAGTTTATGAACAAACATACATAAAATAAGATAAGAAAAACACATGCACACAAAGGAAAGATGGGTATATTTTATACATACTAACTAAAAACAACACAAGTATTAAACTATAGAGGCAGGCTTAAAACTTCAGCACTTCATGTACTGTAAAACAAACATGACACAGAAATGCAAATGGATGCTTAAAAACGTTGGGGGAGACTCAAATAAAAGCCACACATTTCTTGCTGTACCAACCTTCTCGCAGTTCTGCAGTGGGAGGCAGGACAAAGCACAGCAGGGGGGGCAGAAATAGACGGAAAACAGGAAATATCAAAAAGACAGGGAGAGAAAACAAGTTAGACAAAAGGAGGCAAAAGACAGAGCGGGAGCCAGAGAAGTACAGCGAAGACAGAGAAAGAAAGCAATGAGGAGAGAAAGGCGAGAACATAAACACAGGCCATAGTTGATATTGGTAAAAATCCTTCTAGTTTAAGGCAGCTTCCATTCCCAGCTGTCTCCACAGACCGCCTGTCAAATACTCACTGAGCAGCACAGCAAGATTTTACCGGCCTTGCAAGCACTGTTAGACACACATGACTGAAGCTGTGTTGTTGGGTTTGTCAGTTTTTTTTTTGTTTTATACATCCAAAGTGTTTGACAACGCTGCATGTGTGCACCCAGTTGTGTTTGTGCTGTTTTTGTATGCCCAAGAGAAATGTTAGAGTTGGAAAAGCACGCTGGACTGTTTAATCCCCCCACCTCCCTTTTTTCAAGGCAGGGCTGGGAGGTAGACAAAAGAGCAAAAAGCCAGAGGAATAAAATGTCTTCGAGATTCAACCATTTGGTGGGTATGAGCGTGTCGAAGGAGCAAGCAGGGAGACAGAGCCTGGAGAAGTGAGATGGCTGTCAGATTTTGGAAGAAACACAAGTTGTAACTGGACAATGATTTGAATTTTCTTTGAGATCTAAAGGCCAAAAAGGTGGGCAGGGAGATCAATGGCTGTAGAGAAATGTGAACCAAAGAAAAAACTAAATACTTACAGTCATTTGAGCATTTGAATACTGTTTTACAATGGCCATTTTAATACATGGCTACAATAACCTGAACAATAACAAATTATTACTATTTTTAATCAAGCATTTTTTTTGTTAAACAGAGGAAAATATCTTTTAAGTGTGTGTATGAGGAGGAGTATTATGTATTTTCCAGGCACATAGTTAAAGTGCCACAGTCAGGTAACTATGTTACCTTCAATTGTTATGAAAATGCTGTAAATATGAAAAATAAATTTTACTTTGCAAACGTCTTGAAATTGGCCTCTGTCTCTTTAAGAAATTCCTACCATTTCTGACTCTCCCACTTCAGAACATTTTGAAACAATGCATCGAGGGAGGAGTGCTCTGTGGGACTGGAGCTCAGATTCAGACTGAGCTCCAGGGAGGAGCTTCGTACAAATAGGTGGTGCTTTGTACCAGCAAGCATTTAGGTAGCTCCACGTGGCTACCACAGAAGATTTAAGGATTTCTCAGACATATACGAATGAGTCAAAGCAACACCCTGGCTATGTTTTTGATGAGGGAATGACATTTTAACACAATAAAAGTTGATTTTGCATAATTCCTCCTTTTTAAAAAAGTCTTTGTGTTTGCCTGTCTTTCTATATTCGTTGTCTCTGTCTTACCTCTGACATACAGGTTAGCTGGGGTGGAATATCGTGTCCCATCACTGTTGGTGGCAACACACTCATACTTCCCCTGGTCCGACTCCTCACTCATCTCTATCTGGAGAGCACCTGGATGGTCGGAGCGATGGAGAGAAGAAATGGAGGACAGAAGGGCAAGGAAGAGTCACAGATGGAGCGGGGAGAAGCAGCATATACACAGAAGTGAAAAACAGCAAATAACATGTGTATAATAATGAACAAATGCAAATACATCAACGTATAAATGACATAAATTTAAAAAAAAAATCAAATGACACTCATAGAGACTCAAGTAAAAGCAAAAGGGTAACATTTGTACATGGCTACAAAGGGAGCCAAATTCAACAGGTTTCTACCACTGCCATCAAGAATCTGCCCCAAACAAGGGCCACCTTCATGATTTAGAAATAAAAAGATAACAAAATACAAAAAATATAAAGTCCACAAAAACAGAAAATTTTGTCTTCATGCAAGACAGAAACACAGACAACAAAGTAGTCAAAATATATATATAAAAAAATCCAGTCACTAGTACAGCATTTAAAAAAAAGTCTTTGCTGAAAATTGAGATGTAGTTATATAAGAGCAAGTCCGTTTTCAGAGATATTGCCATGGCAAGAAGATATCAACAATTCTTGCGGATCCACCAGAGGGATCAGGAGTGTGAGGTCAGTTTTAAAACACACCCATTCGTGAGGTAAGGACATTAATCGAGATCCGTCAAGGCCAACAGATTTTTAAAAAAAAGGACGACATACGCAAAGCCTTGGGAAGGGACTGATGCTTTCTCGCTCCCTGAAAATAGAAAAACTGTCAAAAAAGTCAACCAGAGGTTCTTTAAAGATGGCGTGGTAAGGCAAAAAAAGCGCCCAGAAAAAACTTTATCAAAAAAGTGGTTGCTTGGGGCTTTTTGTTGATAATGAAGGAGAATAGTAAAAAAGAAAAAAAAAAGAAAGTGATGATAAAAAGCCATGACGAAATATGTGTGTTTGCGAGCTGTTTTGTGAGAGTATGAGCACACTAATGTTGTGTGTCTTGGCCATCTGGACTATTCAGGTTGAGTGAGTAACAGCTGGGAGGGGAAAACAAAACTGGGACATTTGATTGGGCAAATACAGACAAGACAGACGAAGAGGTCGGGTCAGGGTTAGGTCAGGACCCGTAGAAAAAATAAAAAATTAAAAAAGCAAGAGAAAATGGAGGGAAAATTGGGTCACAAAACAAAACGATTGAACAAATTGAAATAAATGTAAAGATGTTTTACCTCAATTTAAAGCAACAGAAATAAAACCAAGTTTTAAACACAATATGCTTCAAATTGGAAACAAACTGGATGCAAAGGTTTTAATGGTTTTATCCCCTTCCCATTCTGGGAATATTCACCCATAGCCTACACTATTCTGAATATTTTTCTCAATTTGATAAACGTCTTTATACATATATCAAGTAAATATTATCTAGAAATGCCAAAATACCCATGCCACAATGATAGAGGGCAATAAAAATTACATACAAAGTAAAAGCATTAAGATGGCTTCTTCTCAGGTAGTAACTTTTCTGGAGCATGACTGAAGTTTATTGGTTACAAGATCTTAATATAAAGTCAGACAAATATAGAAAAACTGCAAAAATGGCTCCATTGTTGTTTTGTATTGTAGTGCAGAAAATTATAGCGACTATGCATGGAAATGGCTACTAATCATCGATTTTCAACAGCTCCAATTGTCAAAACAACTTTGAAATGCTAAAGACTAAGTTTTTAAAAATAATCTCCACTTTGGAAACTGTTTTTTAAAATGTGCTATTTTCTGTCAAAAGCACCATTTGCATGAGGATAAAGGGTGCAGATGCAGCACAAAATGTCCGTTTAAAAGCTGTATACACTGAGTACATGGAAAAGGCTGTGTCCAAAACGACAGGCCGGGTCCTCCGGAGGACCCAGACTCCCTGGTCTCGGAGGGCCGGGTCCTTGGTAGACCGGGA